TTCCACTTTGTGTTTGCATTGGTGGCCATTTCATTCATTTCATCCATTCATCCATCCATCAAGGGCCAAAGGTAAAATGTTCACCAGACAATAAACAATGTGTGTGTGTGTGTGTGTGTGTTTTTAGTGGTGGTATGTAGGTCCGAAAAAAAACCTTTAACCTTTAACCACTTACCTGGAATGGAATTTATTTGTTTAACCTTATTGTTGCAACAAGGTTATAACAATAAAGAATTTTTTTGGTTCATGGTCCAAAATTTCCCATGCCCCATCAATGTGTACCACACGCCCCCGCATTGGAATTATTTATTGGACCAAAATGAAATTTTGAAAGAATGACAAACCTGCACACTCTGTGTGTGTGTGTTTTGAATTGTTTAACGAATCCATGGATTTTTTTTTTGTTATTGACCACCACCACTAGAAACAACAACAAGAAGCCGGGTCTTTCTTCTCTTTTCAAAGATTTTCATAATCGTCGTCGTTTTTTTTTCTCTTTATTCAATGGCCATTTTTTCTTGGAATTGTGTGTGTGTGTGTGTGTAAGCTGAAGACCGTATAGTCAACGTTTGTTGTTGGTCAACGAATATGACGACGAACAACAACAACAACAACAACAACAACAACAACAACTTCGTCAAAGAAGAAGAAGAAAAAAAAGAGAGCTTTTAATGCTTCTGCTTCGAATAGAATTGGCTTTTTTTTCCACAAACTCACAGAGAAACCTGTGTGTGTGTGTGTGTGGTGGTTGTCCAAGTTTTCATCATTATCAAGAAGTAGAAAAAACTTTGAATCGTGAATTAGTCGTCGTCGTCGTCGTCGTTGGCCTGTTTTGTTTTGTTATGTGAATGTTTTTGTTGTTGTTCTGGCCAGCAACACAACCAATAATCTTTAATAATTTTTTTTTTGATTTTGATTTTGATTTTGTTTCGATCACACATTGAAACTTCCATTCCATTCCATTTTTTTGATGGTGAATTGTCCACGGTTGTTGTTGTTGTTGATGTTGATGTTGATGTTGACAAGTGTTGTGTTGTTGTTTTGTGGAGAAATAATAAAAATCAAACCCATCATCATCGATATCATCAGATTTTTTTTTTTGTTACCCGTTGATAACAATAGCCAATTTTTTTTGTGGTTAAACAACACAGTGTTATTATTTCAAATTCGTGGCGATTGTGTGACCAAAAAAAATTCGTTTCGTTTATATATTTGAATATAGTGGTAGTCGATGATTGAAATTATAATAATCCATTTAACCAACCAACGACAACAACAACAACAACAACAACAACAACACTTTTTCCACAAAAATCCATGAATTTTTTGACCTTTGATCATCGACAACAAGTTTTTGATTGGAAATGTTTTTTTTTTTTGAGCAACAATAACAAAACCGAAAAAAGTCCATTTTCTATTCACGAATCAACCGCAACCAACCAATGACCAATTTCATCGACAAAAACGAATTTTACAGCAATAAAAAAAAAAGAAAATTTAATCTAATTTGATCGATACACGAAAACATCATCATCATTTTTTTTTAGTTCACATCGTTTCATTCTATTCAACAAAAAAAAAAACGAGTAATGTGCTTGTGATCGCCATCATTGATCATCATTGATGATTGTCAAATTTCATGTCATCATTTGATTGACATTTTGGCCAAAATGATGATGACATGGCCATGTTTATGAATATTTCTGTGATGACCATTTTAGATAACGTCGTTGTTGTTGTTTGATCAACCATTCACGAAATCAAAGATTGAATCGATTTTGATTGATTGATTTAAATTGTAAAAGTTTTTTGTGGTTGCTATATCAACAAAACATCACATGAATTCATGATAAAATATCATTTTTGTTTGGCGACAATTTCATTGTAAGTGAACATTTAACTTCCATTTTCGTTTATATATTGATTTGTCATTCATTCATTGTTGTTGTTGTCGTTGTTTTTCGTTGTCAATGGGCCATGATGATGATAATGTGATTGTTGTAATTGTTTTTCACTTTTTTTTCCAATTTCGAAACATCAAGTTTTTGTTTTCCTTTTTTTTTGCTGGAACCTTGAAACGGATTTTTTGTTTCAAACATTTGAAATTAATACCTTTTTGATTGATGATGATCATTGAAAAAAAATGAAAATGAAAATGAAAATGAAAACCACACACACACACGGATGGAAATCGTTCATCGAATGTTTACTGATGAATTTTATTTGCTTTGTTTTTGGTGGTCCATTTGGAACTTGAGCTACTTGTTGTTTAGTTTCCTAATTCAGTAGTAATTGGCTTCCATCATCACAGCAATGAATGAATGAATGAATAGGGTGAAGATTTTAAAATTGAAATTGAAATTTGCTATTTTTATTCAATTTAAATTCATTCACCAACTCATCATCATCATCATCAATGCCTCAATTATTTCTGGACATTACAATGATAATGATGGTGATTTGAATAAAAGTTTTTTTTTTAATTTAAAATTTAATTTTCTGGCTAACCACCACCAACAAAATGATGATGATTGTGTGATATTCATAGAAACACACACACACGCTATTTGTGTAGAAATAGCCAAAATTCGAATTTCGAATAATCTCAATTTTTCGATCATTGTTGTTGTTGTTGTTGGCGACAATTACAATCTATTTAGTAGTAAATGATGCTATTGATGATCATTAAATCGATCGATCAATCAATCGATTGATTTTTTTTTTTTTTGGTTTGATTTGGTTTTATTTTCTTTTGTTTCCATCATTTTGACTATTTTATTCAAACGATGAAACAGTGATTGATGAATAAAATTTCAAAAACAAGAAACCGGCTGCCGTCTCATCATCATCATCATCATTAAAATGGATTCGAACCGACCGAAAACAACAACAACAATAACAATAGAAATCCAATCTACAATTTTAAAAAAGAAAGAATGAAAATTAATTCAATTTTTGAGATTCAATCAGATTAAATTTACAAAGATCATCCAAAAAAAGAGAGATAGTTCAATATCCGAATGTGTTTGTATATATACAAATCGAATCTCTGGTGTAACGAAATCTCGTTTTATTGGATCAAAATGGGTTTCATCATCATCATCATCATCATCCGATGGATCGAGATTTTATTTCATTTTCTTGTTTGTTTTTTGTGATTTCATTTCAATCTGATTGTATTCAAATGTCGAAATGAAAAAAAACGAAACGAAACGAAAATTTTTTTTTCTGCTCAACAACGAAAAAAAAAATTTTTCAAACCTGTTCAAAACGTACGTGGTTCTCAATATTCATTCATTCATTCATGTGTAATTCATCATCATCATCATCATCTAAATGGGAAAAAATGAAAGATGTGTGTGTGTGTTCAACAGCATTCTATCATCATCATCATCATCATTATTAAGCTCATTAAGCAATTTTTTTTTCGTTATTGTTCAAAACTTGTGTTTCTGTGTGTGTGTGTGTGTTCAAAAACTGGCCAATTGTTTTTTTTCTTGTAATGTTCCGTTTCTGTTTCTGTTCCTTATCGATCCAGGATGGAAATTTGTTTTTTTGTTTTGTTTTGTTTTTTGTAGTTTTTTTGTTTTGTTTTCTTTTTTTCTCCACCACTACATATGTAATTGTTTTACATTCTTCCGGTGTTGTTTTTTCGTTGTTGTGTATGATGGTGAATTTTGACATTTTCTTTTTGAATTCTTCTTTTATCACTTTGTTCGGAAAAATAAAAAATTCCGCCTCTTTACAAAAACTTGTTGCTTTTTTCAACCCTAATCAAGTGATTGTCAGACATTTTTTTTTCATTGCTAAATAATGATGTGTTGCACTATGCTGCTTTGAACCAGTGATGGTAATGACCAAACGATACACGGTCAGTGGCCAAACAATCAAAAAAATCGCAAATGAAATGATCCAACTAACAAACAAAATCGATTTTTGTTAATATTTTCATTCCTGTTTATATAGAACACACACACACGATAACACTTCTATTTGTAACAACAGACAATCTCATCTTTTCATCCATTCATTCATTCATTTTATTTCATTTCATTTCATTTCAAAAAGATGTGAATTGATGGTGTATGATAATAATAATAAAAAAAAAGATAATTACAGATGAACCACATAAATGTTACATTTTTTCAACAATGAAAACAACAAAATGGACATTTTGATCATGATAATGATCAAAATGGACACATTGTCCATCAATATGGATGGCCAAATAAAACATGATGATGAGACCGGTAGTACAGTATCTTTCTATGTTAATGATGATGAATATATGTACAACACACATAGAGAGACATCTTGTGTGTTTATAAATTTAGAAAAAAAATTTAATTTTTCGTTTTTTTTCTTGTTTTCAGATGAGAAAAAATGTTTAGAAATTTTCACAAAATTCCCTCGTCGTTGTTCGGTTGATAAAACACACACACACACAGAGACAGACACACCGTTCATTGACAACAAATAAGCAGTGAAATCAGAAAAAAACACACGAACAAACAAACAAACAAACAAAATAAAATCTCATTATCATCATCATCATGTAACCAATAATAACTCATTCGTTGCTATTGTTGAACAACGAAAACAAAAATCAAAAAGAAAAGAAAAACATTCATTTCATTCCATTGTGTAATTGTTATCGTTTTTTTTTGCTTTTGCTTTTGGATCCATGGAAAAAAATCGGGAGCAAATTATTATCATGTCCATTTTTTTTTTTTTTTGAATTATTATCCAGCTAATTATTATTTGTCTTGCTGTTTTTCGGACTCAATTTTGTGATTATTGAGCCATTTGTTTCACTGATGATATATGATAATGATCTTGTTTTGTTTTTTTTTTTTTTTTTTCGTTTAGTTTCCGCATCAATCATCACATTGAGATTTTGTTTTTTTTTTGCTCACTGTCTTTTTTTTCTGATAATAATTCAATTCAATCGATTGATTTTATTTATTATGATGGCCACAATGACTGTATCGAATCATCATCATCAGATTCCATCATCAACATTGGCCAATATTGATGATGATGATGATGATGATGAATCACCATCATCATTGCCTTCATCATTTGTGCAGCAACAGCCCCAACAACCACAGCAGCATCAACAACAACAACAACAACAACAAAATTCATCATCATCATCATCGATATCTAGCCTATTTGAACGTGTAACAAATTTTCGCCGTTCATTGATTAAATCAAATCAACACAGGAAAAAAGATAAATCAAGGTAAATTGTCACATTTCTTAATGATTGATGTATACATTTTTTTAATGGGATTCATTGGTATTCGTTAAAAAAAAATATAGGCCACCATCAGCAAGTTTTAGCCTTTTTAAATGTTCACCATCATCATCAACATCTATGACAACAACATCAGATCATCATCATCGTCGAATTTTAATGAATGGTGTCATCACTGAAAAAATTCTAAATGGTCACAATGTTGTTGATAATAATAATGATAATACTCCTACACCTACGTTTAATGATAATGATGATGATGATAATGGTGATGGTGATGGTCACCATAATGGGTCGACGACAAAAACATCGACATCCACATCAGCTATGGTTATACATGTTGATGAAGAAGATGCCATTTACGGTTTCACTGCCATGAATCTAAGTATGTCGTATTCAGAGACATATTGTTTGTTGTTGTGAATACCAAATAAGTGTCTTTAAAAACACACGCAATTAATTGGTTATTTTCTTTTCTCCATAACATAGATAATCCGACAAGACCAAGACAATTACTTTCGAAACAGGCCATTACAGCATCGTCGTCATCAATGTTAAAATCCAAAATTTGTCCAGAAAATCCACCATCATCAATCAAACAATCAATGATGAATAATGAATTTCAATCATCATCATCATGTGTTTCACTTTATGAAACAATTGCTGAATACTGTGAACCACCGTCAATTAGTGTAGCACCATCGCCACAATCAATGGAAAAGCAACAACAACGTAAATATTCATCAACCAAAACAAATTTGTGTATGACAAATACGAAATTTCAGCCAAATTCATCAAATTCCAATTGTTGGAAAAATAAACGACGTTCAAGCGTTTCGGTTTTGTTGTTTGGAAATAACAATAATAATAATGGCGAACAACAGCAACAACAACAATTGATTAATTCTGAATCTCAAAAACAAAAATTATCACCAACACACGTTACACATTACGATTCATATTCACAACCATGTCATCGATCATCAGATGATATTCTAATGATGTCATCATCGAAATCGAATCAGAATACAACATCACGAATCTATGAAAATGTACAGAATACCAGAAACCAATTCAATTATCATAAACATAATAACCATCATCATCATCATCATCATATATTTCCTGATCCTACACGTAAATTAACCAAAGATTCTGGATATGAATCATCATCATCTACATTGGTTAGTGTAGCACGTGGACCAACAGCTAATAATAATTATCAACATCATTCATCAATGCTAAATATGATTACATCATCATCAGGATATGGTATATTACAAAGATCCAATGATAATCGAAATCAAACGATAATTATTGATCATTCAAAATCTGATTCAATTGATTCTAATCTAAGTCATAAAAGGTATGTTTGGTTTGTGTTTGTGTTTGAATTATTTTGAGAAATTTTAAATTTTTTATTTTTAGCTTTGATTCTCCAACGAATTATTCATTGAGTCATTCTATAAATGGCCATCATAGTTTATCTTCATTGCCATCTCCATCATCATGTTCGCCAGAAACACCTGAACGAGGAGAACGAATTGTACAGCCACAAGAAGCAATGGAAATACCGGAATCACCACCACCAACTCCACCGATTCGTTATTCTAGTTTACCGGAAAATTATCCAATAACGGAAAAAATCTCTCCCACCGAATTTAAATCAATCAATTACTGTGATCAACAATCTGAATTCAACTATTCAACCGAAATGCGAATTAATTCCGAATCATCAAATAACGATGATGTTCATTGGTCATATAATCTGTATCCCAAAATGAGACGTAAAAAACAACAACAACAATTACAATTGGAAGAAAATCCATATGATAATCAAATAGAATTGAGCTTACCACCAACACAACTTCCACGATCACAAAAAAATCAATATTCACCTCCATCATCTGTGGCATACGGTGGTTATCCATCATCGCAACAAATTCCACCACCATCGGCAACACAAATTGTTCGTAGTCATCGCGTTCAACAGGTGATTCGACAAGAAACGAAACAATACTCTGATGATTCTGGATCTCAAACTTTTTCTTTGGTCAAAAATTCACAGCCACCCGCATTACCACCAAAATCATCCACAAATACAAGTCCAAAAAATATCAAAGAAATACAGAAACGTGCTGTATATGAATTTTATTTACGACAAAAAGAAAAAAAGAAAAATCGTAATGGTCAACAAGCAGTCGCAGCAGGTGAAAATCAAAATTTACATTCCTCATCACCACAAATATTAAAACAAACGACAGCTACGACGTATGTCAACGATCAAGAAAATCAAGATGATGATAATATAATCGAATTCAAGGTAAATTATTTTATTTTATTTTAGCAATAAAATTTATTAATAATTCTCAATATAAACAAAAAAAAATTAGGAAATCAAGGCTAAAATTGATGAAATCAATAATTCCAACGATTCCCAACAACTACAACAACAACAACAGCCAGAATATCATCATTCATCAATCAATGATTTTCCTCTGCCACCGCCACCATCTTTAGATATGGCAATTTTATCATCATCATCGAATGGTCAACATGACATTGATGACGGTGATGATAATAATAATGGCAACGATAACAATAAAAAGTTGTTATCATCAATGTATTCACTGTTCAAAAGATTAGGTTTAGATTTGAAACTATTTTGGCCATCATTGGATTTCAAGCAATTGATACCAATGTTGATACTAGTATTCAATCGAAATGAAACCGATATTGATGGTGATGAAGGAACGATGATAATAACTATGAAGAATAATGCAAACAAAACAATGATGATCGACTATGAAGATGATGATGAAGAAGAGGAAGAATTATTACATATCGATCAGATTCGTCGCTATAAAAATGGTCTGCTTTCTCGTATGAATTTATTACAAATGGAATCCAATCGTATTGCAAAAGATTTATCGATATTTGAAAGAAAAATTGGTCAATTTATTCATCAAAAATTGAATGAATTGGATTCAAATCTAAGTCATAAAATGGAAATTTTATGCGTTGATATGATACGAATCATACGATTGATATTCTCAATACAGCAACAAATCAAAAATGTTGACTTTGATGTGAATGATAAACAACAACAACAACAAGATGATGATGATGATGAAATGAAAAAAAATGAACGTTTATTACAATTGAATGGACAATTGAATCGAGCACATAATTTATCAGTTGCCATACAACAACGATGCAATATGTTTATCAATCGTATTTTACAACGTTCATTTGATAAGAAAAACAACAACAATAACCATCATCAATGGTCATCGGAACAATTGTTTAAGAAAATTACAATGATGATGACAATCAATGATAATAATGTACATCACGATGATGATATTGTTCTACAACAAGATAACGACGATGATAGAATAATAAAAAATTGGCTTGAAAATCAAGATCATCATCAATCGCTACAACCACAGACGAACAATATGGTCGTTGATGATGATGATTGTAGTAATGATAAGAAAATTTTTATTTGGTCTCTTTCACAGTTAACTCGATCATATCTAAAACATTTAGAATTGTTAAATGTACAACAACAAATTATTGATGCACTTATCATTTATTATCAACAACAACAGCATGCATAATTTGAAATTCAAAATCTTCTAAAGATCCGAATCGATACCGGAAAAAAATATTCAGGTGATTCCAATTGTTGATAAAACGATGACGACTACGAAATTATTTATTCTGATGCCCAGATTACAGTGCCAATTTTATTTGTTTTTATTTAATTTTTCTGTCAATTTTAATAAAAAAAAATTCTTTAAATAAATCAAATTGTCATTTGAACAACAACAAAGATGGTGATGATTTAATAATTTTTTTTCAAATTCATACGATTATTTACACAAACATATAGATTTTGATGATTTTAAAAAAGTGTCAACAATGCAAAAACACCATAGAACAGAATGCATGGATAGGCAACTAATGCCTGTTGATTGGACATTGTCAATGCGGTGACAAATAATTTTGATGCTGATAATGAACACCAAAGTATCACCATAATGGTAATTATATTTCCCAGTAATGTTTGTAAACCAACAAAAATGGATAATGCAGATAGAAAGACCATTGGTAAAAGACAATAACCAAGTATGGAAACTGTACATACGGCTGTCATTGTTATATTTGGTGGCGACATTAACATTAATAATGTATAAATCAACACGCAACCAAGAACACCGAATCCATAAATATAACTGAAATGAATTTTTCCACTTAACAATAGGAAACTTCCAAATGCTAGACCAAAAACCAATGGACCAGCTAAATCGGCATCCATTAGAATGGAGGGATCAGTTTGCCGAAATGGATTTAAAACAGCGACCGTTTTCTGGACAATATGTTCGAAATTTATACCCAATTCTTCCAATAACGGTGGTTCATCGGCAAAAGGATCGGCACTCGTACCAATGCCATAATCATAATTCGGTGTAAAAGTATTCATTTGATCGGCAGCTGGATTAAAATATTGATTCTGCATATTGGTCGTTGAATCAAAATCCGAAGAATAATTAAATTGTCCAAAATCATATGATGGTGGTGGTTGCATGGATGGTGGTGATTGTGACCAGAAATCATCATTGTTTCCACGATTTTTCGATAAATTTGGATTCATCATCGTTGTTTTCACGATTTATGCGAATATAAAGGAAAAATAAATAAATTAATTAATTTTAAATTGGCCAAAACAGGTTGAAAGTATTTTTCAATTCATTTGTTTGAACGTGAATTATCGTCAACGTAAAATCATACGTGTTACGAAGAAAACATCGTATATATGAACAGTGCATCAATAAGAAACAATTATATCATTAGATCCAACAACGATAGATGACGTTAATATCGGCCAGAATTTATTGATCTGTTTCCAATGAGTGTGTGTTGTAAATATTGAAAACAAATTTTTTTTTTTTTTTTGTTGAAATTCTGAAACTCACGTGTAATTTTATTTTGTCCACGCCATTTAGAATTCAAAATCTATTTTTTCCCATTTACCGAACAATCTCATCATGATGATTTTTTTGTAATCAATAATTATCGCTTTTTCTGAAAAAAAGCGAAATGGAATCTGAAACTAATCAAAAACCATCATCATATCGGAAGATAAAACAACGGCAGAATTTTTCCAATTCGCCAAATCATCATCATCATCAACAACAACAACGAATTCGAATTCATCAAGAGAATCGTTCACGTAATTGGTATCAGAAAACAAAATCTGAACAACAACAACAAAATCAACAAACCAAACAGAATGAACAATCGATACCTGCAGTGAAAATATTGGCTAAATCGAATAAACCATCAGTGACATCGTCATCGTCGAATGATACTAATAATCAGAATCAAGACATTGATACAAATTCGAATACCACTGTTAATGTAGTCAAACCAAGACCTTCAGTATCATTTTTAGAGAAAAATATTCAACCATTATTGAAAATCCATCAATCACGCAATAATGTTCAATCCGAAACAACAACAACAGCGACTTCGAATAAACAACCAAAATATATAAAAATTGTGGATTTTGAATTCAATTTCACCATACAGCCGGACACATCATCATGGTCAATTTTGGATTCTTGGCTTTTGCCCGATTCAAATGTATCCACAACATCAAACAATTCAACTTCAACGCCTTCCGCTAGTGTTCCATCATCATCATCATCAACGAATATTACACAAGGATTTGGTAGCCAAAGTTTTTCTATAGTAGCTGCTGTAGGATTAGATGGTGTAGGCAAATCTTCGTTGCTGAATTCAATGGCTCAATGTGATGTATTTGAAACAAGAAAAATGATGGCAATGAAAAATCATGAAAATCCATTGAATCATATTACAAATGGGATCGATATGCATATCACTGCTGAACGTGTATTTCTTCTTGACACTCAGGTAACACAAACGGAAAAAAATTCGAATTTTGTCTAACAATTTCAATAATTATATTCTAGCCATTATTAAGTGCTTCTGTACTTGAAAATCTTATGCGATTAAATACGGAAAAATTTGGCCCATCTTCATCCAGTGCTAGTAGCAGTAGTAATAATTCATCATCAATGAATTCTAATGCGATTAATTCATCGTCATCAAAACATTTCTATAATTCCAACACTAATACAATGTCAACACCAATATTTTCACAAGTAGTTGGATTCGATATTTGTGAAACGGAAAATTTTGCCTTTATTTATTCATTACAAATGTTAACATTTTTATTGACCGTATCGGATCATTTAATAATCGTCATGGATTCCTATTGTTTGGATGTAAATCTATTCAAATTATTGGCCACTTCATTAATGATGGTTGGTGATGCATTAATGGCTAAAGCAAATATTATCATCTATTTTCGCACATCTACTACCAAACCATTCTGTTCACCTGTAATTGATGATGAAAAAACACGACGTTTTCGACGTTTCACCGAAACAATTCTCGGTCCAAATGTTAATGTAGATTTTATCTATAATGATGAACAACGATTAATCAATCGAGTATTGCGGCCGCCTAATTCACGATCATTAGTAAATCTTGAACAATCATGTACAACGATTAATTACCATTCTGAACAACAATGGTTTCAATCGGTGCAAAAATTCTGGGATTTATCCATACGTAAATCAACATTGTTTTCGGATTATGCAAGATATTTGCCATGAAATAAAAACTTGAACTTTGGGAATCATCATCGTAAACACTCAATATAAAGGAATTGAACAATAACGTTCATTTTGAGCACTCAGTCAGTCAATCACTCACACACCACATACATAGACATTTCATCAGATTCCAATTTGAAGAAAATCGATCGATTCGGCTTGTCATCATCAAATGTAAGTTTAAATTTTTTTTCGAATAAAACTGTGGAGAATAAAGAAAGCGTATGAATTTTTTGAGAAAAAAAAAAATTTCATAATCATATGCTGATACAATTCTCCTAAATAAAATCGTTTGGAAAAAGCCAGGAAAGAACAACCAAATTTTTTTTGAAAAGTTTCATTTCTCTCAAAATTTGGCTACACCATTTTGGCTTTACAATTTATTTTTTTATTTATACCATTATCATTTGATTTGATTTGTGGGCTTCTGGGAATTTTTTTTTTTGGGCTGAGAGAGGAAAAGAAGAAAAAAATTCATTGAAAAAAAAATCCAGGAGAGAAAGAGAAAATCACAGAATTTCTTTTTTTGCATTGTTGTTTTGTCAAAAACAAATAAATAAATAATTTTGTATGTATGCGTGTGTGTGTGGAGAGAGAAAGAGAGTCAAAAAAAAGGAGAAAAACGACAAATTTAGCACAAAAAATATAGATAAATAGACAAGAAAATGAAAAAAATGAGATTTATATTTACAAAATAGGAAAGTCTTTGTTTTTTGTTTCCAAAAATTCTGATATGGTTTCTTGAAAGGTATTGATGATAGCGAAAAAAATGATGATGATGATGAATGATTTGATTTTTTCTGGGAGATTATTATTCTTGTTGTTATTGTTGAATGGTCGGATTCGTATGGATATTTTTTTCTTTCTATAGAAAAAAAGTTCGGCATGTATGTTAAGCGATTTGGGACGTTTATTGATAGTAGAAAAGGGTTAAATGTTTTCTTCTTCTGTGTGTGTGTATTATATCATCCAAGGCAGAGAAGCTGAGTTGGGAAAAGAGAAGGTGGCTATAAGTTAATTTCTTAAAAAAATGATTTTCTTTTTTGACGGTAAAAGAAAGAGAGATGGATAGGACCCACAAAAAGGTAAGAGAGATCGATGAGAAGAAAATGAATGTTGGTGTATGTTGAAAAATTTTGTTTTGTGTGCGGTTTTTTTTTTTATTTTCAAAGCTCGTATTAATTCATCTTTTTTGTCTTGCTTTTTGCTCATATAGGATGGCTTCAAGATTTGATGAATGTTTTCAACAACAACAAAAGAAAAAATTCATGAATGAATAAGTGAGAATCGTACATATTGTCGTTTTTGGTGATTTGGCTTTTTGGAGGTGGAAAAATTTGGCCTTTTTATAAAATATATGTGAATGAGAGATATGAGATCGATCGATTGATGGCTTGCTGATTTTTTTTGTCTTATTTTTTATAATTTCTCTGTGTTTATGTTTCTTTTTGTTGTGATGATTGATTTGATGATTTGAAAGAAAATCAGCAAGTCGAGATCATTATTGCTGTATTGTAATTTTGCGATTTTTTTTTGTTGAGTGAATAATAAAAAAAAACAATGACGAAACATCTTGTTGTTTGATCCATTTTTCGTCAATCATCGAACACCTTGACTAGCTTGTGTCAATAATGTATTCAATATACGATCATTATTGATAGTTTTTGATGGTAAAACAATCTGAAAAATAACAAATTAATGGGATTGGATTTGGATTAGAAAATCTTTATACCTTGATTAGATCTTGTGCTGGAATTTTAGCCAATTTTAAATCTCTTGTTAAACGATTCATGATAACTTGTAATTCTTGTGATTCACTATGATTCAATGTAGCTGGCCGTTCATTGCCAATATAATGGCCTTTTGTTACTTTGAATAATGACCATTGTAACATTACTTGAAATTTTAATGTTTCATTCATCAGAATTGTTCGCCTTGATATGATTGTTGTCAACATTGATTCTGATAACATTAAATATTCTGGTCGTTGAAATAATCTGGAAGCTCTTGGATCCACATAGGTTAGGATTGTATTTACCAATTGTGATGCCGATGTATAACGCCAATAATAATTTTCCAATTGACACAACATTCGTGGCACCAATGCTAAACGTAAATGTGTTTTTGTATGATGTACACAGGCCTGTAATAAATCTGGTAGATCAAAATGTTCGGCGGCACATATTAAACCTGGTACCGTATCACATGTTAATGGACATGATCCTGAATGTAGATATTCAATCAATAATTGAAATGTATCGCCATCAAATTCAATTATTGTAAACTGAACCAAAAAAAAAAAAAAATTCAAATCAATCATCGAATCAATCAATCTCATTCAATATACAAACCTCAGTTTGTGCCAATTTATTTGGATCAATTTTAGCTACATCAGCACACATTGAAATACCTGGCACCTCGACGCCGACATTTTGATCCATTTTGGCATAAAATGATTCACTTTGCCATCGTTTCATTGATTCATTACGACCGCCTTTCGATCCCCATCCGGACCATGATCCAGAAACAAGACGATTAAATGCATTTTTAAATACATTACCACTACTACCACTGGATCCAGGAACAGTTAAATAAGTGGGTGTTTTTATCTGTGTTGTTGCTGACATTGTTGAATAATTCGATGAATTCGAAGCGGTTGAATAAGCATTTGCCGATATTGTTGATACAGTGGATGCTTTTCTTGAATCTTTTTCTTTTGAATCTTTATCTTTATCTTTGGAATGATTAGGTGCAATGATTTTCGGTAATTGTGCAATCATATTTTTTGTTTCCGCTGTTATACTACTACGTTTCGATGATGAACCAGATGATTTTCCTGATGAATTACGTCTGGATTCTTTTCCGCTTGTTGTCGATGATGTAGTATTTATGTCCGAAGTTTGTTGTTGTGATAGTAATTGTCCTGATTGTCCGGGTGGTGCGAATCCATACAACATTTCCAAAAATACCCGTGAACGTATAGCAAGTATAGCTCTTACAGCATATATTCGACGAACACCAGAAACCGACGAATTATGAACCGGATCTGTATGACCCATTGAAATCATTCCAGCGCCATTATTATTATTTATCGGTTGTCCATTAGCCGAACCAATAACATTGAATACAACATCACATAATAGTTTGGCATTGCCATGAAAAGCATTGGCGAAATCTTTAGCAATTTGATCATAACCTTCGAAAAGATCACGCACTGAATCCAAAAGTGGACTTGATGGACGCATATGTCCTATTGGGCGCCAACTACCTCTTCGATATGGTTTCGGTATCTGGCCAGTGGCTAAATGATTGGCTAAATTATTTACAATATCTTCCATCATTTGTGATCGTGTACGATCCTGAAAATTGGAAAAAAATAAATGAATTAAATCAAAAGAATCAAAGAAATTAAAATCATTAATTAATTACCTGCATACGTGCAAATTTCGGTGAAGAATAACTGGCTCTTTCTCCATTGATAATTTTAGTCAAAAGCCATTCACGTAAATGAGAATCCTATAAGAAGAAAGTTTTCTGTTTTTAGTATCGACAAGTTAATTGAAAACAAACAAACCTTTTCAAATTCTGATTGATGCCACAAATATGGTTTGAAAGCTGATACTTCATCACGACAAACAACAGCAACAGTATATTTACGTGTTTCATCCGGTTCAAGTGGATCTCGTGGTGTTGTTTTCACCACAATAAATGTATGAAGAAAATGTGATTTAATACAACCAGGCCAGAAAAGTGCATCATCTGTTTCAAGAAATGCAACACAAACAATATCATTACCAATATGACGTTTTTTCTGCAATTTTTGTGGATCCGAATCTTCATGTGGTAGCATCGTGGATACATGAAACATGATTTCAATATTTTTATAACAAGTATAAACGGATTCAGTTCCAGTTAGATCGTGAACTATCAGTGGAAGACGAAAAAAAAGTCAGATCAAATCAAATAATTTGCCAATGCAGTTCCCAACTTACCTGTATCCAGACCACCTTTGTATTTATCAAAACCTTTCAATTTAATACGATCACCAAGAATCGTAAGAAATTCAGTAAAAAGTGGTGATTCCTTTTTATTGCCTAAAATTGCTTCTTCTGAATTACACTGATGTCCTTGGATGTAGATAACACCAACTTTAAGTTCAGATTTAACAAATACTTGATCCAATTTGAGCAATTCATCCGGTGTACTTGGTAATTGACCTAAAACCAATGGCGGTTTCAAACCGGCTTCATCACCAAGGGCACGAACAACAGCTTCACGATCATAACGGTCGGCACAAATAGCCGACGTTGGTACTAGACCATGTAATGAATAGGAAATGGTACGCAAAAGAACACGGAATTGATCACGACCCCCAATGGTTTCTTGTTTTAAGCTCATTATAACTGGACCTAATGCTTCATCATTAGTGAAATAATTCCAATGTTCACGGCCATAGAAATATTTTTCATAAATTTCTTCTTCAAATGAAATTAATTCAAATGGGTCATCTGATTTCAATATACCCGGTGGATGTTGTTGTTGTGATTTTATTGGACTTGATGATTTAACAGATGATGATGATGTCGCTACACAATCACCACCACCACCACCACCATCTGATGGTTTATATGTGACAGCATATTGTTGTGATTGTTGTTGTTGTTGTTTATTAGTGCAACTATTATTACTACTGCCACCACCACCACCACCTAATGGAGGTGATGGTGGTGGTGATGATGGCTGTACAATGGTTATAGTGATATTTGGAAATATTTGCTGTCCCATCAATGATGGTTTTCTCACTAGATCTAAATCATCTTTCGAAATTGGCCGTCCATCATCAACATCATCGATATTATCATCATTTGGATCACGATAATCGGTTTTTATTGTATCTTGGCGTTCTAATCTTCCACGTGTCAGAACGGCTTCTACTGTCGGTGTTGGTGGTGGTTTCATCATCGATGATGATGATGATGATCCACCTCCGGTTTGAAATAGATTTAATTCATTTGTCAAATGAATGGTTGTAACCATTTCATTGTTATTATTATCAGTAGCATCAAATGTAGCAAAACGATTTTGTTGTTGAAATTTTCGTTGCAATTGTTGTTGTGAATCAGACACAGCTGATTGAATTTCATTGATGTTAACCGGTGAGGCACCACCACGACATTCAATCCAATAGCCAGTTGTTGGTTTGACATCATGTGGGAATTTCGAACAATATGGTTGGCCTGGACATGCTTGTACCGGCACAGCGAACGATAATGTTGTCGATGATTTACGTCGGGCTTCAGCACAACCAAGACTTTGTCGTTTGAAATCTCTTAATTTGTTTATATAATCTTCACCCGGTGAACTAAATGAACCGGTAACATCACCAAAATGTAGAACACAATAGATTTTATTACCAACACGTTTAGCGGATCCATTTCCTTGTTTCAGCCGTGACATACAGACTGAACAATGTAGACAATCTTCATGAAATATATCGGTGAATATTGATTGTGTTGGACCAATGCCCGGTCCGCAGGTCCATGTGTCCCATGTTTGATGTGATAATATCGGCAATTGACAAACAAAACAATGTGAAGCCATTTTTTGTCGTTTTGTTTCGGTTTTTTGGATCGATCAAAATTAGGGAAGTTTTCAATTCGAACAAAGCACAAAAAAAGTTATTTAGTTTTATGTGTTACAAAATGGTCGAAATAGTTGAAATTTTTTTGTTGGCTTTTTGAAAAAATAAAAATGTCGTCGTCGTCGTTGTTGTTGTTGTTGATGACAATTTACACGATACATGATTGACCATCATCATCAACAGCATTATTGATACATGAAATTGATCGATCGATCAATATTTTTCTCGCACACACACACTCAAATCTGTCATTATTAATTTTTTCTATTCAAAATCACAAAATCATTTTTTTTCTCGAAAAAAGAATATTCTGATTTTTTGTTGTTTTGGTTGTTGTTGTTGTTAATCTTGATTGACCACCATCAAATGTGTGTCAAGAGTATTTTTGTTTGGTTCTTCCTGGCTTTGATTTTTGCTCCTGCTTTTTCTCACTGTTCCCACTCTAGATTTTCTGATGAGCCATTTCTGATGAGAATCGCAGAATCGTTCGAACCAAGTAACCAGCTAACAAAAACAACATCGCTACCGCCACCACCACCACCACCACTAAACCATCATCATCATCATCATATTAAAATCTTCGTGAATTTCAAAAAAAAAGAAGAGGTTCATGTATTTGGAACACACAATTTTACAATCTACAAAATAATCATAATATAGCCGACAAGCAAAAAAAAAAAAACGCAATCGCACAACGAAACATTTGGATGTTTTTGGTGGATGTGTGTGTGTGTGTGTGTGTGTTTTGATAAACAAGGAAGAAGAGAAAATTTTTTTCTTTGATGTTCGTGTGTGTGTGTGATCACTACACAGTGAATTATTATTTTTTTTTTATTGGAAGTGGAACCGATACAGAAGCAAATAAAGAGAGTTGAAAATCAATGAAGAATCAACAAATATATTGGGTCAATTACAGTGCGTGCGTGTGTCTCAGAATATAGAACCGATATAATGATCATTGGTGATGACAAGATTCTTGTTGTTGTCGTTGTTGTTGTTGTCAAGAATAAAAAAAAAATGACAAAATTTTTTTTTGTTGTAAAATTTTTCTGAATTTTATTTATTCATTTATTTATAGAATATATAGATGGAATCCGGAATGGATAAGATTTGAAAACAATTTTTTTTGTTCTGTTTTCTGTTTTCGTTTGATTTGTTTATATTCACAAAAAATGTGTGTTTGTTCTGTTGTTGATTGGATCATAAAATTTTTTTTCTGTTTCTGTTTGTGGACCTTGAATAAGAATTACCGCGTATTTTATTTTGTGTTTTGTTTTGTTCATCAAACTAACTGCTGTATGTTTTTCATTCATTCATAATAGAAGAAAGCTATAAATTTTTTTTTTTTGTCATGAATGAATTTAATTAAAATTATGATCCATTTATGATGATGATGATGATGATGATGATGTGTTTCCGGCGGTGATGGTAGTGGTAGTAGTAGCAGCAGCATCAGCTATATGTCATCCAATACTTGTAAAGCGCTAAAATTAAACGAAATATATTTTTTTTTCCAATAATAAACACAGGGTTCAAGGATAGATTTTTTTTCGGTTTTTTTTACTACATTTTCTTTCATTCATTCATTTTCAATTTGGAATTTTGAATTTGAACGATGATCATCATTTAATTTGCCATCAGCGTAATAGTAGTAGTAGTAGTGGTAGTGGTAAAAAACGAAAATTATGAATGATTTCTATTAATGGTGGGTGGTGGTGGTGGTGAAACAGGTGACGTCAAAGACGTTTGTTAGTCACATCACTTATAACAATCGATTCATCAACCATCGATGATCATCATGTGATCACTACAATTGCAGTTACTCACAAATTGCTTAGCGTCTTAAAGAGATAAATAATAATAGATAGATTCGAATGGTTTCAATAAAGAAGAAAAAAATGAAAAAAGATTCAAGTCACGATCCGAACGCACCACCGTTGACAAGAATACCTATACCCGAATTACGTGATACTGAACAGCTGGAGAAACGAAGAGCGAAAAAAGAAGCTTCGAAGGCATTGAAATTAGACAACGATGTTCTTCCATCCATATGTTTGTACACATTGTTGAATGCTCAACAAACGACGAATGAAACGAGTGCTATTTGCGCTGAAATATCTGATGATTCTACGCTGTTGGCTGTTGGATTTTCCGATTCATTCATACGGATATGGCCATTAACACCGGGCAAACTGTGTGGCCTAAAACCGGCAAGCGAATTAGAACATTTGGATAAAGAAACTGACGATGTTATATTGCGTATAATGATGGACATGGGCGATGATTTAAAGATATTATTTGGCCATAGTGGGCCTGTTTATGGTCTCAGTTTTAGTCCATGTCGCGATATGTTATTATCATGTTCAGAGGATACAACCATTCGCCTTTGGAGCCTTTTAACATGGACCAACGTTGTCGTCTTTAAGGGTCATTGTTTTCCCGTTTGGAATGTCAAATTTAGCCCACACGGTTATTATTTTGCATCCTGTTCACATGATCGAACGGCTAGACTTTGGGCTACCGATAATCCCAATCCTTTGCGTTATTTTACTGGTCATTTTGCTGATGTTGATGTAAGTTGGATTGTTTTGTTTTTCTAATTGTGATATGTGAATTTTCTGCATTTCTCTATGCCACAGTGTGTACAATTTGATCCAAATTCCAATTATGTGGCTACCTCATCATCCGATCGTTCAATTCGTCTATGGGATTGTCTGAATGGTCAATGTGTTCGATTAATGACCGGTCATAAAGATAATGTCCATGTTTTGGCGTTCGAAAATTCCGGTCGATTTTTAGCATCGGCCGGTGCAGATAAACGAATTTTAATCTGGGATCTGGCCTCTGGTCATTTGGTAGCTGATTTTGCCGGGATCCATACGAATTCAATCTATACGCTAGCATTTAATCGTGGTCCCGAATCAATAATATTGGCATCTGGTGGTCTTGACAATCGTGTCATTCTTTGGAATATGAAAGCATTAATGGATGATTTAGATTTTCAGGAAATGACACCAACATCCATGCCTACTATTAAGTATGTTTGATTTATATTTTTTTTTCATTCATTTGCCAATAATTTTGTTTGATTGTTTGATAGATCAAAAAGTGAAACCTATTTATTGGCGAAATTTCCAACAAAATCCACCTATATGCTATTGAATCATTTCACACGTCGTAATCTGTTGCTATCGATTGGAGCATTTCATCAAGCATCATCATCATCATCATTATCATCCGCATCACAATAAACAATTGGACCATTCGCAGAAACGTTCGAACAAACTAACTATCTAACAAAAACAACATCGCTACCACTAAACCATCATCATCATATTAAAATCTTTGTGAATTTCAAAAAAAAAACGAAGAGGTTCATGTATTTGGAACACTCAATTCTTCAATCTACAAAATACAAAATAATCATAATATATAGCCGACAAGAAAAAAAAGGAAAAGAAACGCAATCGCACAGCGAAACATTCTTACTACACAGTGAGTTATTATTTTTTTTATTGTAAGTGGAACCGATACAGAAGCAAATAGAATTCTGCCAAAATTATGAATGGCTTTTTTTGAATTTTTTCTTTCTTGATGGTAGGTGGTGGTGGTGGTGAAACAGGTGACGTCAAAGACGTGTGCTATTAGAGAGTTTATATTTGGAAATTGGATAGGAAATTTGACCCAGTTTTTTTTCGGTTTGGATCGATTTTCGGTTTTGGTACATTCGGTCGATAATTGTACTGTTTCATCACATCAATACTGTGTGTGATTTCATTCACAAGAAAAAATCATAAATATAACAGAGACTTTGTAGAAAAAAGTCCTTGAATACACACATAAGCTTTATTCATAAGAATTATTTTCAAAAAACAAAAAAAGAAACTTTTGTTTTATTCTTCTTTTCTACTTTGTCGTTTTTTGAATGAACAGAATTTTTTTTTTTTTTTTTTTTTGAAAATCGGATCTATATAGCCTCTCGAATTTTTTTTTGTTGTTGTTTTGTTTTTGAAAAAAAAGATAATTCCATAATTTATTATTCTACTGTTGTTGTTGTTGTTGTTGCTGTAAGTTTAAATACAGGATTTTCAAATTCTCTTTGTTGTTCATCATTATCGTTTCGTAAACGCATTGATCTAGGTTGTTGTTGTTGCTGCTGCTGCTGTTGTCGTGTAGTCCATGTTACAATATCGGTAGTCATTTTCTGTATTATATTTCGAAAATTTGGAAAATTCCTCGCCGATAATGATGATGATGGTAGTGGTGGTGATGACGAGGATCCATTGGGACAATCCGAAAGACCAGGATTATCTAATTCCATTTCAACATCACTAGCAGCCGAACGAAAACGTACAAATGTAAAAGCTGGATCCATACGATTCCGTTGAATGTAATTATAAATGGCGAGAAAACCAAAAAATCCAATCAATAAAATCAACATGAATATGGCCAATATAAATGAATTGAATAACTGAGAATCTTGGATCCAATCCCGGCTTGAACGATATGTGATTTTCGTTAATTTTGATAATAATTCATCATTGGACAATTTTTCCAGCAATTTTCGACCATTTTCATCGGAATCAATTAATGGATTGGTTCGTCGTTGTTTTTTACCCACTAACATTGGTGATATGATGACATGGATACTATTATCATAAAGCCAATGAATGTAAAGATTAACATTCTTTTTAATATCCGTCAAAGATTCTTTACGTTGATATAATTTATCCAAATGTCGACCAATCGTACGATAAACAAACCATTCGGTATTTGGCGAATTCCCAGAATTTTTTCTTTGTTTTTTCAATCGTATCAATATGCTTGTAGCACATATTGGACAACAAAATCCTGGTGCCTGGATTGGATCATGACATTTTAACTGCTTGGGACAGTTACGATATTTACATATTTCTTGCATTATTTTTGGTTGATCATTACCACAATGGCATTCATCAGCATTACGACATTCGTTGGTTGATGATTCAATTTCCATATGATTATAATCTTGTATTGTAAATAACATTTGTCCAATAAATGATTGAAAAAATTTTTGCAATTTTTCCGTTTGAAATAACGGAAATTGTGTTCCAATCATCAATCGTCCTAATGATGGTATCAGATGACTTTTCTGGCCAATTTGAACTTTCCATGTACCATTTGTTGGAAAATCTACAAAATCCTGATGACATGGTATACGTTCTGAATCTGGTATTATCATTCGCCCGATATCGGTTTGTTGATAATGAAATGTTGCATATGTTGATATTTGACGATAACCACCAGTTGTTGTTGTTGTTATTGGAGGATTATTCATTGTTGAATCTGAAACAAATGTTACATGCCAATTATCTGGATTAAACCATGAATTTGTTTGTCGATATTCTAATGATGGACTGAAATATAATGTATCCATTGGATCGTTTGATCGACATTTTGAATCGGAATCAATATCATCATCATCATCATCAAGTGATTGTTCATCATGATCAGCAGAAAATTCTATGATACCGCCATCTTTTGAAATGATTAATTCACCATTTTCTGGAAGAATCTAAGAGAGAGAGAGAATTAGAAATTTGAAAAAAAATCACCGATTTAAAATGATTACCAGCTCAGTGACAACTAGACGTTGATTCAAAAAAACGGCATAATTTTCTGGCAACACAACACGATCTTTATAACATGGAAATCTTTGATTTGGTTGCCAATTTTTTACATCATCAAAATGTAATTGTTTACGCCATATTAATCGTCGTTGTCTAACAATTAATGGTTGTAAATCCATCGATGAATAACCAGCTAGATTTACCGGTTCAATCAATGTCGACAGTATCGAGATGGTTGATAATAGTAAAATTGTTGATAAAATCATCGTTGCCAATTAACTGATGGTCATTGAATGATTAAAATATTATATATTCATCACCAGCACCATTTTTTCTGAGTGTAAACGCCCCCACATCATCATCATTGACCAAAAAAAAACAGATGTTTTACATCAACAACAAAACATTTTTTCATTTAAAACTTCCAATTTATTTATTTATAAACAACAAAATTAATGATAGACAAAGACAAAAACCCGGTGTTTGTGTGCATGAAATTTGAACTATAATGAAAATGTGTATGTTTTGTATTTTGTGATACGTGATGGATCCAAGGCCTTTTTTGAATTTGATTCTAAGTTTTTTTTTCGTTATGGGATGTTTAAGTGTGTTTGTGTTTGCCCGAATAAAAAAAAAGAACATTGATTGAATTAATAATACAGAGACACAGATGACACACAGAGGAAGCAAAAGTGGTTAATTATGATCGGTGAATAAATGAGAAAAAATTGATTTAATTTGAGGAGTAGTAGTCTAATAGTCCTAAAAAGATTGTGTATTCTCAATTGATTGTTATCATTTTGTGCCAAAAAGATATTCATTTTTTTCATCATCTACAGGAAAACTATATTGTCTTTGACCAGGATGTGCAATGCCAGTATCACCAATACCGCCAATATTATGTGCACCACCTGTTAATGTTGGTTCAATAATAAGACTACGTGTTGGATCCCAATCATAGACTTTACGTATTGGACGTGTATTACCATAACAGCAGATAACATATTTGATTTCTCTCAACAATTCAATTCCAATATGTTCCTATATAATTGATTTTGACGTGAAAGACAGAAGAATAAAAATGCTGTGACAACAAAAAAAATCAAATCAAACTTACCCTTTCTGAACGTGGAATATTACCCATTTTCCAGATAAATTCACCAATACAAATAATAATAGCAATTATAGAACCGGCAGCCAAGACGACAAAAACACCACCTACATTAGCCAAACCCAATTCAGATGCTGATACCGAAACTTTTTGTGTTTCTTTTTGTCCACCACATTTTCCTTTTCCGGACCACCAACGATTTTTTAACATTAATAATTTACCTTCTTCTTGTAGTTTGAGAATTGCATCCGACACAATTGATCGATACGGTGAATCTGGTGGTGTTGCAATACCATATCCTTTGGAATCAAGTAATGAACCAACCTGAAATAGGTCACATTTACGTTCCACGATGTATTCGATGGTTGTAGATTCCATCAGAAAAGCATAATTTCCTTTTTCTACACGATCTACACCTTTTTTATTTGATTCAACGAATACAGATGGCCTATAGGATTCCATAAAACTCCACATACGTGCATAAGTTGAAAAATTTGAACTACGAAAAAATGCTTCCGTTGAACCAGATTTAAGGCAACCATAAGGAATTTTGGTTTGTTTCGATAAATCTTCCGCCGATTCAATTGGATTAACCATACGTTCAACGGTCAAAAAGGCAGCTAAATTAGCCGTATAAGATGATACTAGGATTAGGATAAAAAACCACCAACTTGCCGCTAATACACGTGTCGATAATGAACGTGGCATTATATCGCATCCTTGTTGCATTAGGCAACCAATAGTGAACCATAATGTATTTTTCATTGAAAAATTATTTTTCAATTCAATTGGATCTTTGTTACATGGATGTGGATTAACCCATTCATATGGAGAGAAACGAGCAACAAAAAATAAGAATAATGTAACACCCAAAAATGATGTCATCAAATAGACCCAAACATCCATTGCTAATGGTGACATGAATGAAAACAATGTTGGTGGTTCTTTTTTCTGCCGCTTGTAAAGTATTCCAATACCCAATGACATGAATGGCATAGTGAAATCGACGGCAGCTTCACGTTCATATGTTATGGTTAAATCAGCGATAGCCATATCTGCTTTCTATAATCAAGAAAATGAAATTCAATTTTCTTATCAATCATTTTACTGATTTACGGCACTCACTCCTTCAATCAATTCACGAATCATTCCATTCCATTCACCACGTTCATTACGTTTCCCGTAAACACCATCTTCGACCAATTTTATCGTATATTTGAATTCCAATAAATCAGCAATTTCTTTTATAAGATCAACGGAATAACCTTCGAAACGATCATTACCAGTACGATTTTCAGCATCATCCACTTCCATACAGTATGGTTCACCCTATATTGAATGATTGATTGAATTGATACATGATTGATTGATTGATAACACATACCCCAATGGTAACAATGGTCAATGTTTTATTTCGTAATGATTCACGATAAATCTCCGTCATTGCTTTTGTATAATTACTCATAAATGTAATCTTTTCTTGTGGTTGCCAATCACCAACATGTTTCAAACCTTCTCTTGTCAATTCCAGTAATTGAAGTTTGAATTCTGATCGTGATCCAGTTGAATCGAATTTTATCGGTCCAGTAATACCATCCATTTGAATCTAAATTCGAAATAGACAGAAAATTAATGTTTTTTTTTCTCCGATAAAAAACTGATGCATACATTACGCATATAATTAGACATAACGGTACCGAATTTCCAAACTTTTTCATTTTCACATGAAATATCTTCGGGTTGTTGAAAATGTTGTCCATTTTTATCGATTTCATATAATGTTTGAGCGAATAATCGAACAGCATCATAAACAAGAGCAATTTCCGTCTATTTCAATCCATAAGAGATATAGAGGTAGAGATAGAGTAGATATAGAGTTTTTGTTTTATTCGAATCGAATCATTTTTTTCTGCCAAAAACATTATTCAATTACTTACAGTGAAATTATTTGATGAAACCATCCTATAAATCGTGTTATCAATCGTTTGTTGTTGTTGTTGTTGTCCAATATTAATCATATTTGTGTCCAATGAATTCCAATGATAACGAGTATTGGCAGTAACATCATCAAGAATACCATCTTGTAAGTGTTGTTGTTGAAATTTATGAACAATTTCTGTAACTTCTTTCGATGTCAGATCAACTAAACTAAAACCAGAAATATTTAAGCCACTATATTGAAATTCTTCTAAATCAACGGTATGTACATCTAATGATATGAAAAAATAATTATGATAGGCAGACAGCATATCGACTTGTTGAGCATGTTTAAGTACGGTTAAAATATGTTCATGTGGTACATCAACGATTATATTACGAATAGCTAATTTATGTAATTCTTTAAATGTTGTACGATATTCATCCGAAGGAAATTGCCGAACGACGATGCGTTTTTCATTCAATGCCGGATCTTTAAGTATTTCTTGCATACGTACTAATGCTTCATTCTCTTCATAAAGTATTGCGAAACTTTTCCAATTTTTCAACGTTATTAGATCACGAAATGCATTGCCCAGACCGATTGGATGTGGAAAAAGATTCACCGAATGATGAAATGGTGGATCATCGAACTTGAAATTCCATTGTGTTGTTTCCATATGTGGCATATGTAATACATCGCATGTTGATTGTACATGTGCCGTGGTTTCCACTGATTGTGGTCCAAATATTGTTGCAACACCTTGACGTAAAAGACTGCAAACTAAAATGGAAAATTTTTTCATCTATCAACATCGTCAATCAATCAATCAATAATAATCAAATACCTCGTTTGGAAGCTTGAAAACTATCACAGGGTTCTAATCTTTCAATAATTGGTTCAATACGTGTTTGTGGCAACAGTGTTTCATCGGAATTGATTCTTGCAACAGCATCCCGGAATGCCATTTCAACCAATTCATCACCATTTTCAAATAATCCACCAATTTTCACTACATTTGGTAATAGGCCATAAACATGATTATGTTGTCGTTGATAACCGATTATAATTAATTGTAATAATAAGAGTCGAAAAATGGATGGACAGATTGAACGAACTTTATTCATCATCAACAACGGTGACTCATCAGCCATCATCATCGCCGTTGAATATGAAAATGAAAATTATTGAACAACAACTAAAGATGAAAATGAAACTTTGATTTGTCAACTAATAACAGCAACAGCTAAAGAAAAACATTTTTCTTTGAAATGTGAAAGATTCGAAATTTCTGCATTTTTTATTTTGTGTATAATCGTTGGAAATTCTTTGGAAAATTTTTTATCTTTAGTAATTCATTGCACGTATTTGTTATCTACACACAGATTCGCACACAGTCCAAATTGAACATTTAACATCAACAAAATTTGGGCCACGATACACGAGTCAATCGATCAAATGTCTCTATGTGTTTGTTTCTGGATTTTTTGCAATTATATAGACGACTTTTCTTGTATAATCATCATCACTTTTATTGTATTGGATGGATAGATGAATGAATTGAATCGGATGGATGGATGGAATTGGAAAGGTGATTGGATGGATGGCTGGTATGATATAATGTAATGTCCGCGCAGAAATCAAATGAAAATTTTACTTTCCCTTCAACAATTGAATGATGAAAAGATTATGATGAAGAAACATGATGATGATGATGAACAATTGGGAAAAAATATCTCACTCATCAACATCAACAACACAGCCTCATTGGACCATGAATGACATCGATTTTTTCACAATGAAAATTGAAAATTGAGTTTTGTTCGAACATCATTATTGTGATGATGATGATGATGATACAGAAGATTTGACACAACAAACAATAATAACTTCTAGAAAATGAATGAAAATGAAAAACTCAAACACACGTGGCTATATACAAAAAGTTTCAAATGAAGAAAAGAAGAAGAAAAAAGTTGTAGTTTTTTCTCTTCTCTAAATTTGTTCTCTTTCTGCTGTGATGCTTTGATGATGTTCCAGGATCCTTGGAATAATATCAAATTCTGGGATTATTCTGTTCTTTTATGTTTTGAATGAAGTAATTTGCATCATGCGCATGATGAACATCGAAATCATCATCTTGGGTACCGCCTTTGGACCGAATTTTTTCTCTGCCTCGATAATGTTGATGAAACCCAAAGAAGAAGCAGCCAAGCGCAAGCATCCCATTTTGATACAACAACAACAACAACAACTATAGAACATCGACATCATTATTGATTAGACCATTCATTTTTTTTCTGGTGAAGAAAGTGAAAAAGAAAATGGTTTTTTTATATGGTCATTAATTTACGCTGCTACTTTTTGCTTCCCACACAGAGTATTCTGGTATGAAGAAACGATGATGTGTGTGTGTGTGTGTGTGTGTTATTTCAAATGAACAAAGAAAAAAATGAACGAAATAACTTTATGAGATTATACACGGTTACAACAACAAACGATCTGGTTTCATATATGAAGAAACATTTGTACATATAATACATTTTGGTTTATAAATTGTGCATTTTAACAACAACAAAATTCTTTTTCTCAATGAAGATAAAATTTATACGGAAGAATAATAGTTCAAAAGGAAGTACAGTACAGCAGTCAAAGGCATTCATCATATTCTGTGTTTATGATTCATATACAGAATACAGGATTTGGAAGCAAAAAACAATAGCAAAAAAAAAATAAATTCTATGTAGCTCTTGATCATGATGCACATCCATTTATCATCATCATCATCATCATTGTACATTTTTAATGGTGATGTTTTTTTTCTCTTGTAAGAAAGTCGAGCTGAATTTTTTTTTCGCTAGAGATTGGTGATGATAATGATGTAGAAAGAAAAAATTACATGTTATGCAAATGTAGTGATAGCAAGATTTTGTTGGAAAAAAAGGAGAATGTTTTTACAAAATGATATTGTGTCATGTAATAATATGATTGGGGTTGGATTTTTCTCAAATGGGGACGATATTTGAATATTTTAATTCTTTTTTTCCCATAGAATACATTAGAATTATTTTACATCATTACAATTACAGGTTTTTCATCTTCAGGAACATTTTCATCATCATCATCATCTTGTTGTTGTTGTTGTCGTTGTTGATCTAGATTACCAAAATTCCATCCGAATGTTTTTGATAGAAAATAACGAAATTTATCTGCTCTATTCATTAGATCTGATCGTGTCGTTGTGGATCGAATATTCAAAAAAAATGTTCGAATCCAATGATAAACACGATTTTCATTATCAACGATATCGGCAAATATTGCCTGATCAGTTTGTTTTAATTGAAAATGAAATACTCGTATAAAGGCGAGAAAAAATTCTGGCCTTTCCAATAATGTTCGTCGACATGAACATATCACACGTATCATATGTTCCCAATGTTCAAATGATTCAAATTGGTGACCAAGAAGAAAAATAATGAATGCAAATTGCAATTCACCCAATAACTCAAATTGACAGTCTTGATGTTTCTCATGAATCAAATATTCTAATGTATATGACGAATCTATTGAATGTTGTGTAATTTCATCCGGTTTGGATCCTTGCGGATAAAGGAAATGTTTGGGAATTGGTGTGGATGGAAATTTAATGGCATTTTCTGGCGCAATAATCATATCCGGCAGACCTTGATCATCGACACGATGACAATGTTTTTTATTAACATTAGAAGAATCATTCGATTCAGGATTATCGTTGGTTTTATATACTAAATTGGAAGCAGAATAAATTTTTCCACATTCAGGATTCATTTTTTGAAATAAAGTCTCTGTAATATAATCGGTCAGCGTAACCCATGTTTGATATGAATCAAATTGATATGGTCCTGATTTTGATAGATAAACAAAACAAGATTTTAAAAATTAAAAAAAAAATTCAATTTATACCAACCAAGTTGATTATCAAGATAACCGCGTAGGAAATTTTCACGAAATCGTTCGATTTGTACACTTGAATGAACATTGAAATCGATATCTTCTTCTTTCGTGTTCCATCGTGTACAATAGAATTCTCCGGATTTAAAACAATGAAAAAATCCGATTCTCGGTGCAACCGATTGAGTTTTATGGCTGACCAAACTGAAATGTATGAAATGCAATCCTGGTGGTATCATTTTTAATCCGATAAAATTTTTTCCAGTATAATTAATCGATAGATCGATACCGAATTCGGATCCTTCGGGAAAATTTTCCACAATTAATGTGGCACATTTTTCCAGTAGATAACGTGCTGTTTTCTGATCGAAATCATTATCGGATGGAATTTTTATATCCATTTTGTTTATTGATTTTTTTGTCAGAATTTTTATTCTTCAAGAACTGATTACGATATGAGAATGTTGTTTATAGAATGTTTTTCACTCATCACCTAATGTAACTTACAACGTATAAACCAGAAGAATTTTTTTCCCTCGCTCAGATTCTTTTTTTTGGGCACATTTAATTTTTTTTCCTGATTCAAAATGCAAAAATGATCAAATCTAAAATTCGCCAAAAAACTTCTTCCGCTTCTTCATCGGTTCGTGGTGGATCATTGTCCAGGAAAAAATTCCATAAATACTCATTTACACCATCCAATGATTATGGTCTTGTAATTAGCAATGAAATTGATGTGATTACTACGACTGAAAATGAAGATGATTCTCGTTCAGATTTGGCAACAATAAACACTGATGATGATGATGAAAAATTGTTGATCATCGAAAATAATGACAATGATGAATATTATCCAGATTATGAATTTCAATTATTATTTGATCGATTAAAAGAACGTATACAAAGTGAAAAAGTACGTAAACGTAAAATTGATTCTGTTGCCGATAAAATTGGCAAAGATTTTTCCAAGTCGAAAAACATTATTCGAGAAAAATTGCTTCACGAAATTTCCTCCGGTTGTAAAATTGAAAAATCAGATGGTAATGTTCTGTTGTTTGAATGAATTTTTGTTTCTCATTATTAACTGAATTTTTTAAACAAATTTCTAGATGATAAAGATTCGAAAATTACAACTGGGATTCCATCATCGATCATTTTTGAATATCTCAAAATACCGTGTGGTTTTAGCTATACGGCTATAAATCCAAATTATTTTCGTTTCATACATCGAATGGAAAATGTATCATTACAAGAAATGTTTGAGGATTTTGAACAAAAACCAAAATTGTATACATTTTTCAAAAAAATTGGACCCAAAATTCTCAACGCAGCATATGGATCGGCAAATATAAATAAGGCAAAATTTATTCATGAATACCAAGAAGCCATGTTCGCTATGTTGCAGTATCAACAAATGAAAAACTTGAAATCAGAAGATGATGATCAAGATATGGATGATGATGATGATGATGACGATGACGAAGTGAATCAAGCAATAGATGATGAATTTGATTCAATCGTTCAGTCAATAGATTCAGCTAAAACTAATAAATTTCGTAATGCTGCCCTTACATTAGATCCACTTCTTGAGTCAGCCATGTCATTGAAAGATTTTCAATATCAAGTGTTGGGTGTAAAGGAAGAAAATCCTCGAATCGTTCCATCTAAATATCGTTTCATTTTTAAATGTTGGACATGTAAATACTATTATCGATTCGGTCAAACGCAGCAAGAATTTTTTCAATTTCAATTCAAAGATTTTTGTTCAATCCGATGTTTGACTGCCAATGTTCGAAATAATGGCCGATGTACATTTTGTTATCGCCAATCTGACCCGGCCACAACACTTTTAAAGGATTCACCATTAGATTGGCAAACCTGTAGCTATACACTGACATTTTATCATCCTGAAGATTTAGGTCAAGATTATCTGGAAACATTTCATAATCAACAACATTATCAACGATATCTTGAATCAAATCGTCGATGTCATATATGCCAGATTGAATTATTGGAAGATTTAGGCGATACAATCAAATCATTACGAATGAAATACTCAAATAATGAAACTAGAACCTTGTATTTTTGTCACAAACATCAAAATGAAATCAGTATACGATCATGGAGTGGTAAATCCACTGAACATCCACCTAAATGTACAACATGTTTTCAAGAATTAACTATCGATATTTCATATCCAGATGATCAATTTTTTGATAAACAAAACCTAGTATTCTGTACAAAATATTGTAAATTATTTTATTTCAAACAAAAACAAATGGCTCGACAAAATCATTATGATTGTTCCGTTTGTTATCGTCGTATCACTATTGATCACGGCAATTATGATGATCAATTTCGTTATTATTTAATACGTTGTTTATGGACTTGGTATCCTGTGTGTTCACCAAGGTGTTATCAAAAATTTCGTCATGATTATGGATTTAATGTCGATTGTGAACAATGTTCACTGGCATCCAAATCACATTCAGATATGATATCGATAATGCAATTCAATGCTGAATGTAAATCATCACCACTGGAAATTAAACATTATTGTTCATTGAAATGTTTTATTCGAATGAAAAAATTAAAATCAATCTCAACATTCCATCCATTACCGATTCGTTTTCGGAAATATACATGTGATACTAGATTTGAGCGTGATATTATCGATGAAAAATGTCTGAAATGTTCACAAAAATTTCTTAAAATGCGTGGTTCATTATGGCAATTTTGTTCATATGAATGTTTTCATCACTATCATCGTGTTAATTATTCAATGATCAGATGTATTTTTCAACAAGAAGAACAACAATCATCAAAAACTGATGAACAATTATTTGACTCAATTTGTTGTACAGAAATTTCAAAAAAATTATCATCATCATCAAAAGAAAAAGATTATAAATCACAAAAAATTGATAAACAACAACAACAACAACCTGACAATTTTAAAAAAATGACTATGACGACAGCAACGATGATGATGAAAACGACAACAGATGTAGAACAACAACATATCAAACAATCACGATTGAATACCATACGGAAAAAAATTTCACAAAAACAAAAACAAGTAGAATAACCAGTGTATTTAGCATTATTCTCAAGAAAACCAAACGAAAAAATTTTTTAGTACAAATCAAAAGATTTTATCAAAGGCTGAAAAATCTGAATATAATATTTTGACCTGATTGCTTAGAATTTTCTGTGATCTAATGAATTTATTTTTATTTTTAGTTTCTACAAAATTAAAATTCAAAAGATTTTTGCATTTTTGTTGATGAAAATGGTTTATCAAATCAATCAGTTGTCGCTGATATGCAATATGTGATTAGCCTTGATTTTGTTTACCAAGTTTCAAGTTGATTTTTATTTTGATTTTGAACAGAAAAATCCGAATCATCATCATCATCATTCACTCATCATGTAAGTATCATATGTTGTTGTTGACAGAAGTTTTTACCATTATTTTGTTTTTTCCATCATTTAGGGTTTTTACACCATTATTTTTATTTCCATTTGGATCATTTAGAGCGACTATCGTATCGTTTATATTGGCTATCATATATGGATCACTTGTTGCGTTTCGTTTATTCAATCATTTTATGAATGATGGGCCAAAAAAATTTTTTCAACAAATAAACATTCGACATAATAGACCCACGATTATTGATGATCCAATTTATGGTGAACATTGTTATTATAAAGTTAAGGATGATGTACGAATACATTATGTTGATAGTGGCGATATAGATCGTCCGATTATATTTTTTCTACACGGGTTTCCTGAATGTTGGTTTAGTTGGCGTTATCAATTACAAGAATTTCGTAAAGATTATCGTACAATTGCCATTAGTCTACGTGGTTATGGTGATTCAGATAAACCGTCGAATCTATCAGCATATAGTATAACAACGCTGATTGATGATTATTATGAATTGATTCAACATACAACGAAATCATCAAGACATATGGATCGAAAAATCATTATGATTGGACATGATTGGGGTGGCCTAATCGCTTGGTATTTTACAATGTTATATCCTGAATTAATTGATAAATTAATCATCATGAATGCTAGCCATCCAGCTATATTTATTCGACATATTCAAAATGATTGGCAACAATTCTTACAGTCATGGTTTATATTCTTTTTTCAATTACCATGGTTACCAGAATTAATGTTTCGTTGTAATGATATGAAAATATTTGAGAAAATGTTTGGTCCTTTTATTCGCGATGAACAAGAGTTGGATGTTTATAAATATTATTTTCAAACATTCTTGGATTGTCAATGTCCAATTAATTATTATCGTGCATTTATTCGTGGTTATGGTCACCATGATTTATTGAAACGTTTAAATCAAGCTAAACGATCGTTTGAATCAAGTTTAATCGACACAACAACATTGATTATATGGAGCGATCAAAATGCCATCAACATTACGAACACCACCGCAACAACCGATGTACAATGTATGATTCCAAGTTTAGTTCGTGAATCGGCAATGTTATGTCGAAAATCCATTATAAAATTCATCAATAATGGATCACATTGGATACATTTTGAAAAACCACGTGAAATTAATCAAATTATTCGTCAATTTCTAAGCAATGCATTACCACCGCATGAACATGTTAATGATGGTGGTGGTGGTGGAAAAAATAACAGTGGTAGTTAGTAAAGTTTATTTTCATTTTTTTTCTCTTTTTCATTATTATCATTAACCTACCAATGTCAACTACATACTAGATGAATAGATCATCATCAGCCATCCTGTTGTAAATGTGGTAGTATCATTTTTACACTAAAAAAAAAAATTTTTTTTTGTTTGTTTGAAAACGTTCATCTGGTCACGTTCACACACACATACATTTTTCATGAAAATGATGATGATTTGTGCGTTGGCTATCCGGTGGTGGTTATAATGATGAAGAAAACAAAAAAAAAGCAGAAGAAAAAACCAAAGAAGTAGATTTTTCCCCTACCATTTCCTTGTTGTTTCAATTATTTTTTAACAATTATCATCATCATCATCAATGATCATGACGTCAAACATGCTATTTTTCGATAAAATAAAATATTTTGCTTCTGTTCAACAAAAACGAAAATCCATAGTGATGTTATACTTATGCTTGTGTTGGTGTATGTGGTTGCTATTATTAGACATCATTACCAATTTTGACAATTTTTGTTCATTTTTTTTTGTTAATGGTAATGATGATGATGATTATGATACCACCTGTACATGTATAGCACCACCTGTTTATGTGTGTGTGTGTGTGTGTGCATGTGTATCCAAATTTATCAAATTTTTCTATTTTCAAAAGAATTTTATTTTTTTTCTCAAGATATTCATCGTCACACACACAGAGACATTTTTGAAAGAAATAAAACGCGCAAAAAACTTGATTTTTGAAAAACCAAAAAAAATATGTGTGCTGTATACAAGCAAAGCAACAGGCACTTTTATTATTATTTCCTTGTCATTTTTATTTGCGTCATCATTATCATTGTGAATGAATCGTCATTGGAACGTACGATCATCATTCATTCATGATGATTCCCCTTTTTTTTGTAGCAGTTGTTGTCCATTATAGTAAAAATGTTTTTCTTTCTTATAATCAACCTGTTGCTGTTGCCAAACTTGTTGCGGCTTCTACTACTATTCTGTTGAGAATCGTAAATCATAAAAAACCAAAAGAAAAAAAATTCATTATCATATCTATCAATAGGATGATTTTATCAATCGATTTTTTTTATTTATTTTTCCAATTTATTTATTGGGTCGTCGTTGAATTAATGTTGTTGTTGTTGTTATTGCCAATTATCAATTACGATCATCACAATTGAACAACAAGTGATGGTGGCGGTAGCGGTAGCGTGAAATGATATATAGTAGTATATTTGTTTTGTTTGCTGTAAATGTTATCTAGTTGTTGTTGTGTTGTATTTACACAAAAATAAAAAAAAATTGTTACAAACAACAAACAAACGTCATCCAATTTTTTTGCTACTTGTTGCGTGTTTGTATCTGGTGTGTGTGTGTGTGTGTGGTCTTCTGATTGAATCGAATCGAATTTAGAATCAAACACTCACACACATACACACAAAATCTCGCGTATCAAAATATCGTCACAAAAAATGGTCAATCAACAAAAAAAAAGAGAAAATTGCGCGATTTGATTTTTTTCAATCCTTCCTCCCCTTCCCATTCAAAATGAGAATGACTACGTCATCGTTGCGGCAGTGGTAAAAGTGATAGTAGTGGCAGCAATACTATTGTTGGTTGTAGATCGATCGGTCAATTCAAAGTTTTTTTTCAAGTTTGAAACATAATTTTTTCTTTGACTTTGTATATTGTATGGTGATGCACACACACACACACACACGCAAAAAACATTTGCGAATGAAATGTGAAAATGGATTGATGTGATTCACATTCATCATCGGTTGATTGTCGATCGAGAATATTACTGTTATATTGTTTCTTCGATCGAACAAACAAATGAACAAACAAAACGACGCCGAATCATTTCGAATGAATTTTCATTGATGCAAAAACATTATCTGATCATTTCGAACCATTTTTTGAACCAGAAAGAAATTTGAAAATTGGAAAATAAAGTGCAGTCCATTTGAATATTATCATCCAATGGCTTTATTATGTTTGCCATTATCATCATCCACAACATCATCATTACCATCATTATTAGCTAATGTAGTTATGAATAGTAGAATTAATCGTGATAATAATAACAACAGCCAAAACCAAAACGACGATGAAGATGGCGATAATTTGAACAAACAAGATCGGTTTGAAACAAATGAACCAATTTCAAGATCAGTACCATTATCATTATCGAATCAAATTTATTCAATGTTTACATCTTCAACAACATTATCATCATCATCATTAATTATTCCAACAACAAAAACAACAGCTACCTCAATTATTCATCAACAACAACAACAACAATCATACGATGATCAATTACGTCGTGCATCATGGCCAGTGACCATTTTAAATAATCAACAACAACAAAAACAGATTAAGATTTTCAAACAAAAATCATCATTCCAAAATGATGATTCAATTCATTTACCGAATAATTTATCCACATCATCTAGTCATCATGAACATGAACATGAAAGTGGACAACGAAAATTATCATGTTGTTCGGGTAGTTCATCAACAACATCGGGTTATATGTCAACATCATCACCAACTCATTTACATCATCATCATCATCAGCCCGAATTTCAATCAGATTCATCATCACCATCGACGATCATCTCCACCACTAAAACAATATCCACCGATTTACAACCAATCATGCCTCTTTCACCACCTACACCACAATCACGATTACAACAGCAACAACCACCACCACCACCACCTAGTGTTGTTATTAGTGATCATTCATCAATGGATCATATTCACATACATTCCATTATACAATTTGATTCAGTTTGTTTCTCTTGTATTTCAAAATACAAAAATTCTAATGAAATTCTTGTTTTTCTAGGATTCCGGTGAAAATGATTATGAATCATCAGATAATAATAATCGACGTGATTCATTATGTTCCATTTATTCATCAACATCATCATTATCATCAATGGGAGACGACGATGATGATGATGATGATGATTCTGTCTTTCAATCCTCCACACAAATCGAAACATCATCATCATTGGATGAGACAACTACCGCCAAAGTAACAAAAAAGGTATGTGATTCATTTAGGATTTTTTTTTGTATTTCACATTTTCGCTTCAATGATTGTCTGATCAATCAAATATAGAAAAAATTATCGAGAATCAATTTCTTTCTCTTTTTTCACATTTAATTGTAATGAATCGATTGATTGATTGATTCATTCATTCATTCAATTGATTATTGAATGAAATAATGATGACGTCAATGAGTGAATATGATCATTATCTGATGAATAGTTGATGTAGACGACGATGACGAAACAAAATTTAATGATTTAATCAATTAAATTTGAGTTTAAATTTAAATTTTGTTTCCATATTAATAAATTTACAATATGCAAATTATTTGATAATGAATGGCTATGTTTGTCAATTATTACCGTGATCAATGCCGTTATTCTTTTGAATATTCAATCAAAATAATGATTAGGATTTTTGTCTGAGAGAGAGTTAGAGAGAGAGAGAGATTCATTTTCTTTGTATTTTTGTATGAAAATAATGATGATAATAATCCATGGAATTTGAAACGAAAAAAAAAATTTTTTTTTGATTATTATTACAGGATGTGTGTGTGTGTGTTGAGCAATTAGATAATCAATATCATCATTTGACTCTCTTTCTCTCCGGTGTAATACATGTTTTTTGTTGTTGTTTTTTTTCTGATTGAATATCCAATTTCCTGAGACTGATTGAGTGATTGATGACTATGCAATGAAATGTTGTTGTTGCTGCTGCTGTTGTTTTGGGTTATACAGTCGACATCCCCTTTTTACATAGCACACGATCAATTTTATTTTATGTTTTTTGACTGATTCGATTGATTGAATGAAATGAAATGGACAAACATTGACCAGAAAAATGACCAAAGCAAAAAAAAAAAAAAAAAACCAGGGATAATCTGGAAAAAATGAAGATGGACATTACACACACACACACACAGGTTGTCTTTGTCGTTTTTTCTTGATGAGAATTTACCATCAAAAAAAGTGAATTTTTTCTATTTTTTTGCTCAAGGTATATTATCTGATATCTGATGATGATGAAAACGAAAACAAATGATTTTGGTTGCTCTTCCACATTGTTTAGTTATTGGTGTAGTCATTGGTGACAACCAATCAACCAAAACCAATCCTGTGTGTGTGTGTGTATGTCGCGACAGGCTAGTGTGTTTTGTTTTGTTTTGTTTTTTCATACATTCATTATCATCATCACCATCATCATCATTTACAAAACGCAAAGAAGAAGACCAGAAAAAAGTACAATTTTTTTCTGATTGTTTATGTGTGTGTGTGTGTGATTTTCTACCAATAATAACCACACAACAAAAAACAAGCAGGCAAGAAAAAAAAACATGCAGAGGGAGAGGAACAACACACAAAACGAGAAAAATACACACTGATTGATAGAAAAAAAACTCAAAATCAATCAAAAACAGACAAAAAAAAATTTTTATCCAGTTTTTAAATTAATTAATTAATTAAAACAATTTATATTGATTATTGATTAAAAATCAGGATGCTGCAACCAAAAGAGAAATCTTTGAAGATGATCTAAATCAATTTGGATGACCAATGTGACACCAACAACAGGTGTTTTCAATTAAAATTCCATTGAAATTTTTTTCTCTTTGTGTGTGCGTGTGCTGTTGTTCTATTTATTTATTCATTCACATTTTTTTACATCATCCGATTTCCAAAATTTGAATCAATTTTTTTATATGAAATTGTCATTATCAAATATGGATGATGATCATGAGGATATCAAAGTTGATAATGATGATGATTTCTATTCAGATAATTCATTGGATTCATCTTCGTCAATGAATTATATATTTTCATCACTCTCATCATCATCATCGGGCGATGAATTATTAGTATCAACAGCAACAGGAATCGAAAATTCCATTGGTCATAAAAAGGTGATTGATTTTTGTATTTAGGTCACAATTTTTTTTATTTACTCTAACATTTGACCTAGATTATATATCAATATTCTCACTTTAATAGAGTGTAGGAACAAAAACAGTGAGAGAAACAGGATTCAATCAATTTGGCCATTTCTGTTTGGCTTTGAACTCAAAAGTTCCTAATTGCCATTTGTCCACACAAACAGTTTGTCAAAAACAATGTTTTTATCGAATGAAAATGGCCATCATTTTTATCTATTGCCATTTCTTTGGATTGTCTGTGTCTTTTATTATTCGTGGTGAATTGAAAAATTTTAACATTTTTTTTCATTTTGATTTCAATAATAGAGTTCAAAATGGCGAAAAGTACGATCATTGGTAACATCACCATTTATACAGACGTATAAACGTAAAAAATATCCATGGATTCAATTAGCCGGCCATCAAGGTTAGTGTTGTGTTCAATTTTTATTGGTTACATGTAATCTCAAATTAATAATTTTTTTCCAGGCAATTTTGTTGCCGGCCAAATACAGGGAACGATAATGAAAAATTGTGTGGAAATGAAATTGATTGTTTCGAAAAATTAATGTCTGATACACAATTATCTGTTTTGGTACCAGAATTTAAAATATACGAATCGTTAATGGTGACAGTAAGTCAATGCAGATGGATTTGATTTCATTTTCTCAAAAATTCTCTAATTTAACTATTTAGCTTATCTAGAATTAGAAGATCTATTAGCTACATTTGTTAATCCTTCTGTGATGGATATTTTACATCATCCGATTTCCAAAATTTGAATCAATTTTTATATGAAATTGTCATTATCAAATATGGATGATGATCATGAGGATATCAAAGTTGATAATGATGATGATTTCTATTCAGATAATTCATTGGATTCATCTTCGTCAATGAATTATATATTTTCATCACTCTCATCATCATCATCGGGCGATGAATTATTAGTATCAACAGCAACAGGAATCGAAAATTCCATTGGTCATAAAAAGGTGATTGATTTTTGTATTTAGGTCACAATTTTTTTTATTTACTCTAACATTTGACCTAGATTATATATCAATATTCTCACTTTAATAGAGTGTAGGAACAAAAACAGTGAGAGAAACAGGATTCAATCAATTTGGCCATTTCTGTTTGGCTTTGAACTCAAAAGTTCCTAATTGCCATTTGTCCACACAAACAGTTTGTCAAAAACAATGTTTTTATCGAATGAAAATGGCCATCATTTTTATCTATTGCCATTTCTTTGGATTGTCTGTGTCTTTTATTATTCGTGGTGAATTGAAAAATTTTAACATTTTTTTTTCATTTTGATTTCAATAATAGAGTTCAAAATGGCGAAAAGTACGATCATTGGTAACATCACCATTTATACAGACGTATAAACGTAAAAAATATCCATGGATTCAATTAGCCGGCCATCAAGGTTAGTGTTGTGTTCAATTTTTATTGGTTACATGTAATCTCAAATTAATAATTTTTTTCCAGGCAATTTTGTTGCCGGCCAAATACAGGGAACGATAATGAAAAAATTGTGTGGAAATGAAATTGATTGTTTCGAAAAATTAATGTCTGATACACAATTATCTGTTTTGGTACCAGAATTTAAAAATATACGAATCGTTAATGGTGACAGTAAGTCAATGCAGATGGATTTGATTTCATTTTCTCAAAAATTCTCTAATTTAACTATTTAGCTTATCTAGAATTAGAAGATCTATTAGCTACATTTGTTAATCCTTCTGTGATGGATATAAAAATGGGAATACGAACCTATCTTGAAGAAGAACTAGTCAAAGCAAATGAAAAACCAAGACTTCGTAAAGATATGTATGAAAAAATGGTTGCCATTGATCCAGATGAACCAAGTGACGAGGAAAAATTACAGAAAGCAATCACAAAACCACGATATATGGTATGGCGTGAAACAATATCATCCACTTCGACGCTTGGATTTCGTATCGATGGTATGAAATCCGGTTGTAATTGTTTGAAAACAACGTCACCATCGGTTAAAGATTTTAAACGTATGAAATCTGTCGATGCAGTTCGATCAGCAATATTGGAATTTGTTGGTGATAAACATGAATATCTGGTTAGTTGAAAAATATTTTCAGTGTTTTTTTAGCTAATTTCTCCGTTCTCAAAGATTACCTATTTGGAAAAACTCAAGTTGATTCGTAAACAGCTGGAACAGTCGAATTTTTTTCAAACACACGAGGTCAGTTAGTAATTTTGAAATGAAAAAATTTTTTCAATTGAAATTTTTTCTCTCTTCTCTTCAGATGATTGGCTCAAGTTTATTATTTGTACATGATCAACAGCATGCCAATATTTGGATGATTGATTTCGCTAAAACATATCCACTATCAGATGGTTTACAAATCAATCATCGTGATCAATGGAAATTGGGTAACCACGAAGATGGCTATCTATTTGGTCTCGATAATCTGATACAGATATTTTCATCGCTTTGTTGAAAACAACAACAATGAATAATTACATCCAACCACAAAATCAATTACGAAATCTGTTATAAATCAAATTAATTGTAAATGTTTTTCTCTTTTGTTGTATAAAAAAAATTTAAATTGAATAAAATTTTTTGATTTTATTAATCAAATAATGGTATTGGAAATGGAATTTAAAATTTACAATCACTATCCATTTGGATCAATTTTTCATGATTTTAACTGAAAATGGCCGATAATTGTCCTAGTAGTAGTTGTAGTATGACAAAAGAATCGAAACGACAAAATTTCAAAAATGATGATGATGACGAAGAACCGAGTGGCGTGTATCCATGTAATACCTGTCCAGATGTACACATTTTACGTAGTATTTCCGAGATGCCATCATGGTGTTGTACACATAATCGTATTATATTCGCTGGTTATCGCCCGATTACATTATCATCATGGCAAACATTTCGTTCGTTGTTTTTGATTCACAATGAAACTGGAAATATTTGGACCCATATGATTGGAGCTATTATGTTTTATTTTCTATTCCAGCATGTTTGTCGTAATCCACCGGATACACGGTCAATGTCACGGATTGATTTCACATTAATTTGTATATTCTTTTTCGGTGTGTTTGTTTGCCTATTTCAATCTACAATGTATCATCTATTTGCAAGTCATTCAATGAAATTGAATAAATTATTCGCCAAGTAAGTTGTGAATGAATGTAGATTTGATTTAAAAATCACGTTAATCTCGTTTGTTTTTTTTCCCAGATTGGATTATTGTGGCATCACTATATTGATTGGTTGTACATTTATTCCATGGATTTATTATGGTTTCTATAATTCTCCGTGGCTACAAACTGGTTATATAAGTTTCACCACGATTTGTACAATCATCTGTGTTTTATTCTGTGTGTATGATCCATTTGGTGTACCACAATATTATCATTATCGTACATTGATGTTTCTTTCGCATGGATTCCTTGTGTTTGTGCCGGCATTTCATTGGACCATCCGGGAAATCGCCAATAACGCAGATAATCGAAATGATTTTCAATCATTTTTATCATTAGATCATCGTGCACATTTATTGATTCTAATTCAAGGTATAATCTATCTATCTGGTGCATTGATCTATATGTTTAAATTGCCTGAATCTATTTATCCAAATGTTGCGCTATTTAATCTTTGGTTCAATTCACATCAATTATTTCATATATTTGTTGTATTTGGCCTGATACTTTACTATCATAGTTTAGTATTGATTATCAAGATGCGTTTAGCTGATCCAAAATGTTTTGTCAATTGATTAAAAATTCAAACAAAAATTCAAATAGTCAAGATTTTTATTTATTTATTTATTTATGTTATCGGAATCAGTAATGTGTGATTTGTGAAGAGAATGACAAAGGAATTTTGTGGTGCTCAATTCTTTTTTCTTGGTCGCAATTCTTCAAAACAACCATGCAAGAAAATATAATTCTTTTTTTGTGGATTAAAATATTCATGTCCTTTGGACCAATCATAGCTAACGGAATAGGCGAATATTTCACCACGCGCTGAAAATGCACAACGTGTTATTGGCTGTTCCACTTGTTCTGATGTTTTCAATTTGGTACGAGCATCTTTATCCCAGAATGAATAACGACCATCTGAACCGACGGTAGCCAATGTACCATGTTGTGGATGGAATGCAATATCATGGACGATGAAAACATCTTGAAAATTTGTATTCGTACCATTGGATCGATGACATTTAAATGTAAAATTATCTTTAGGATTCGTTGGATTCAGATATTGGATAGCGACACGACCTTCAACACTACCAACAGCAAAACCGGTAGGTGGATTATTCGGTTTATCTTTATCCGTAAAAATCGATACACAACGATGTTGATATTTTAATGGTGATTCAATCTGTTTAAATTGTTGTAAACCATTTTCCAATGAATATACTAGAATGGCACGATTAGCCAATGATACGACAGCCATTGGATAGAGGACGTCAGCGCAGAAAACTTTATCACTTAATTGTACAGTCATTACTGGCTGTGCTTGACGAAGATCCCAAAGCTACATAAATCATTGTTGGTTGATACAAAAATAAAAATGATTGACAATCAATGGGAAAAATTCACAAACCTTGATTGTTTTATCAAAACTTGTTGTCATTAAACATGTATAATTTGGTGCCTTGATGAAATGACATGTTTTAACGGGCTGATCATGTTGTGCAACTTGCATCTGTTGATTCGAAGCTAGATCCCACATTTTTACTGTTTTATCAGCAGAAGCTGAAAATACTTTGGTACCATCCTAAGTATTTTAAAGTTAAATTGAATTGAATGAATGCAAATTATCATGGTACTTACATCACTGAAACGAACATCCAACACAGGACCTGCATGTGCTTGTTGAGCTTTGGGAATTGTTTGCCATGCATTCGTTGTGCCTATTACTTCCCAGCAACGAATTTGATTATCCCATGATCCAGAAACTAGAAAATTTTGTGATAATGTTGGTGGTGAAAATGCCAAACCAGCTATTGAATCATCTGGTGATGATGAAACTTCAATATCTTTATTTGGATTATGAGCACCAGTCTGTACAACGGATGATCCAAATGGTGCCGACGATGTATTCGTCCCGGGAACATTGAACATTGTTGATGATCCAATTGTATTCTGGGTGGAAAACAACGAAGTCGATGTTCCCGGTGTTGGATTACCGAAAAAACTCATTATGAATTCTGTTTAGTCTTTTTCGATGATGACAAATTACAAAAAATTCAACGCACAAAAGTTTCAGACAATTATAATTGTAAACACAAAAACGTGATTGATATACGTACTATATGAATGGACACTGGATAAAAAACACAAGTGAATCAAAGAATCATCCAAAACCATCAAATTTGATCATTTGTTTGTGATTTAAAAAATTAATTAAAATCGATAACTGCTATCAAAAAAAAATCAATTTCAGAATGTCTAAAGAAAATATTAATCAAGATGAAATCGCTGATGTTATGATAACACCAAGTCCAAATGTTTTAATCGTATCATCAAAACAAGATGATGAAATATCGACAACTGATACAACGACGACAACTACAACAGATCCATCCGAACCAATAAAACCAGAAATAATAATTGAAAAAAATATGAATCAATTATTTTGTACATTACAGCCATTCATAATGAAATTAGATGAACAAGTGATGTCCGTACGTCTATCACAACAACAATTAAATGATGAACTATCACGACTTTTATCCATATTGGATCAGATTAAACAATATCCTAACAATTCGACAAACGTTAATAATGATGATGATGATGATGCGGATAATCAATTGGACACAACAAAACAAGATGATATCTCGGCCACTCAACAACAACAACAGCAAGCAGTGTTTATTTATCCAAAACGTATGTTTACAACAACCAGCACCGGTGGCCATAATTGTGATGATGATCTTGCCATTGATATCGAGGAAAAAAGTCGTCGATTATTAGGATTAAAACGCCGATTAACATTAATACATTCTATATTACAAACGGTTAATAGTCGGGTAAAGAAATTATTATTAGCACATGATTCACGGGTTTTACGGCAATTACAAACATCATCAACAACAACATCTAATTGATCACGTAATTCCTTCAAAAAAATACCCTTTGATTACATTTGAAAAATATGTTTGTTTTTTTTTCTCTGAATTTCCCAATTAAAGAATTGTCTGTTTTTTTTATTATTTAAAAAAAATACGTCTATGTCATTGACAATTAATTTATTTTGTTTTGATAAGATACAAAACATGTAGCAATCGATCAACAATGAAGGAATCTGGTCAATCAACCGCTGCTGCTGCTGCTGCTGCTGCTTTAGTATAGTAGCAATAAAAAAAATCCCAAAACCGAATTTGTATAAACAGCTAGCAGCCAGTTTAGTCAGCTAAAACTGAATTTCAAAAGAAAATCGTAGCTTTTCTTTGCAGCTGTTTGACGTTGTGTGTGTGTGAACGGTGGTGGTATTTTACTCGGATTTGACGATATCGAGCTATAAAATAAACAGGCACTTCGTGCCTGTGTATTTTGTAATCAAAAGAAGAAAAAAAAGCAGCTGACAAACAACATTGCATGCGTCTTGATCTGAAAATGATGATGATGATATAATCATCAAATGAACAGCAAAACAAAACAACAAAAAAAAAAAACGCGAGAATCAAAAATTAGTTGGTTGGTTGAAAATAGACTCTACCCGAATTCGAATTCATTCATTCAACACAAACATGAACATCACTCTCACACACACATTTTTTTTGGTTTGATCCAAACAAAACAAAATAAAATCGAATGTTTGTGTGTGTGTGTGTGTTGTCTGTGTGTTTGGAATTTCCGTTTGTTTTGAAAATTCTTTTTGTGTGTGAATTTGGAATTTTTTATTGAATTCGATCGTTTTCTCTGCTCATTGGTAAGTCATCATTTTAGTATTTTTTGAGTTGAAATTTTGTTTTGTTTTTTAGTCAATGTCCGATAACACCATTGTGTTTTATTGTTGTTTTTAGATAACAATTGATGATGCTGTTTGGTAATCATCAAACATATAAACACCATAATCCATCGTGATTATAAAAAAAAACATTTCGTTTGTAGGAAATCCACTCTTTCTTTCTTTGGTTTCAGATTTGTTTGTGTCAATTATATCAATTCAGATCGAATATCATACATGGTTCGACATTGAGTTGAAATATTTTGTTTCTGTGTGTGTGTGTGTTTGTGGCCGATTTTTTTTCTATAGAATAATTTTGACATATCTAATGTTGACATTTTTTTGCCTTTTCATTTTGATTAAAAAGCCCTTCAATTATAGATAGATAGTGGTAGAAATTTTAATGAAAAACATACACACACATGCACAAGACTTTTTTTAAAAAAGAGAAAAATTTCCAGATCAATAAATTCAGCAGTGTGAGCAATAATAATAAAAATCTGATAAAATTTTTTTCGTTTGTTTATCCAAATTTTTCACGTGAATTCCGATTAAAATGATCAATTTTTTTTCGTTTTGTTTTAATCTTAGAAACATTTTATGATTATTACTTGAAAAAATTGTTTTTCTCGAATTCATTGTGTCAGCTATATATATAGCTGATGAACGATAATAGTTGCAAATCATGATTCATCCACCACAATCATCGTCATCGTCAACAACTAGCGGACCTACACCACAACAATCCATCATTTCAGCACCACCATTACCACCAAATCGACAATCAATACCATATCTTGGACAAATTCGTAATAATTCATCAAGTGGATCAAATGGATCATTTAATGAATTAAGTACAACAGCATTTGATTTGATTCAACCATCACCACCTGGTTCATCGATGATTTTGATGAATAATAATAATAATAATAATGAAACGGTGATACAATCATCAGCCACAAAAACAACAAATGGACAAATAATGAATGGTTCCAAATTATCATCTTCATTATCACCACAACCATCACAAGAATCATTTGTAGATAGTACATTTAAATTCGAACAACAGCAACCAACAAGTGCCAATAATAATAATAATCATTCATCGTTGCATAATGACGATAATGACAATAGTCCCGTTGTTTATGGTGAACTTGTGATTTTAGGGTAATTATAGAATTGCTATATATTAGACATCGATTTGATTGATTAATTAATAAATATAAATTTTTTATCTTACATATTTTTTTATAGATATAATGGTTGTTTACCACAAGGTGAAAAAGGTCGTAGACGTAGTAAATATCAATTACAACGGAGACAACGTGCCAATGGTATTAAGAAATCTAAACATTACACAGTTAAACAGCCACAATCATCGAAAGCAATACAAGATAAGGAACAACATTCAATTTCATTTACATTATCAAGATCTCAGGCAATTATTGTTGAATATCAACATGATGATGAGACTGATATGTTTCAGGTATTGACAACTGAACTGTGTGAATTTTAAATCTATTTATATTATATATTATATTATTATTTATTATTTTAGATTGGAAGATCATCAGAAAGTCCAATTGATTTTGTTGTTATCGATACGTTAATGTCTGAAAATCAACAACAACAACAACAACAACAATTACTAAATCGGTGTTTACAATCTGTACAAAATGGCAATATGTCGTCATCATCCGCATCATCATTACAGCCGATAAAACAAGCACAACAAAGTACGATATCGAGATTTGCATGTCGTATATTAGTGGATCGTCAACCACCATATTGTGCACGTATTTATGCCGCTGGTTTTGATTCGAGTAAAAATATTTTTCTCGGTGAAAAAGCAACCAAATGGCAAACAAATGGTGAAATTGATGGTCTCACCACTAATGGTATATTGGTTATGCATCCTAAACAGCCATTTATTGATAAATGGAATTCAAATCAAAATCAAAATGATGATGATAACATTTTTATGGAACAACAACAAAAATCACGTTATATAGATGGCATATGGCGTGAAGTATCGGTTTGTGGTGAAATTTATTCCGTCCGTGAAACACGTTCAGCATCACAGAAAGGTGTACGTATCGATAATGAGACAAATGTTTTACAAGACGGTACATTAATTGATTTATGTGGTGCAACATTAATGTGGCGTTCATTGGAAGGTTTATATCGTTCACCAACGAAAAAATTATTAGAAGAAATGATTGATCAATTGAATGCATCACGACCACAATGTCCAGTTGGCCTGAATACATTGGTTATACCACGAAAATTATCTGCATCATTGGGTGCAGCTGATGATAAACAACCATATGTTTATTTGAAGTGTGGCCATGTACAAGGCTATCATGATTGGGGCCAAAATAAACATTCAAATACACGGACATGTCCAATGTGTTTTAAATCCGGTCCAATTGTACGATTAACAATGGGTATTGAACCATCATTTTGTACAAGTTCAACATTACCGAATTTTGCATTCAATCCTTGTGGTCATATGGCATCCGAATCGACTGTAAGGTAAGTGGAAAATGTGGAAATTGATGATCTCAATGGATTAATTAATTGTTTTTTCAATCGATTTAGATATTGGTCACAAGTATTAATACCACACGGTACGAATGGTTTTCATGCAATGTGTCCATTCTGTTCACAACCATTACAAGGCGAATTAGGTTATGTTAAATTGATATTTCAATAATGATGAATTTTTTTCCTTTTTCTGTAAATTTTAGTTTTCTTTTTCCAACCTCTTTTTTTTGTCGCCCCATGTTGTGTACACATTTTGAATTTTTCTTTTCTTTTCCTTTTTTCATTCTTTCTTTCTTTCTTCTTTTGGTTCTTTAAATTCAAAAATCATTGTATGTAATGTATGTATTTGCCGTATGTGATTTATTATCATGATCGATTGAATATCTTTTTTTTAATACAAAACAAACACACACACACACACACACAACATTGAAATTATAAAAAAAAATGATGATGATTCTTTATCACGGTTCAATGAATCGTAACAACAGCCGAAAAAAATTGGTCAGTTTTTAAATTTAAATGACCATTATTTTTTCATTTCTTCATCATTTTCGAAAAAGACATAAAATTCTTTATATTTATTTATTCACATAATAATCATTCGGTTGAACAACAAACACATACATACACACGTAAAAATCAATCATGAAAAAAAAATTGTTGAAGCAAATCATTTGATGATGAATGGAATATGAAATCAAGTGTGAAATAATGATTGATTGATTGATTTAATGGGTGGATGGGGGCGTTCATTCGATTCGAATTTTTTTTTTTTTTAATGGTAATGGGTGGAACAATAGATTCGAATATTTTTTTTTCGTTTTCGTTTTATCATCATATTTTTTTCGGTTATTTATTGATAAAATTTTTTTTTTTCGATGATAAAAAACGATGTTGTGGTCGTTTTTTGTTTCTTTATTAATTCGTAATTTGATTTGATTTTCATTGAATCAAACACAAGATTTAATTACAGAATTTGAGTTTTTTTTTAGTTGGGCTCAAATGTAAAGGTAAAACCCATGCGTATCATCGTCATCATAATCAACACCAGGATGCTTTTTTTGCACCATTAATCAATCAAATGATGTTCATGTTTTTGCTGGTAAAATTGTTATCACTTATCACTTATACGCACACCAAATCTTTTCACCATCATTTATCCAATTTGTTGTTAGAAAGAAGAAAAAGAAAAAAAATCTTTCAATGATATGATAATAATGATATCTATTGGTATTTGGTGTGTGTGTGGTTATCAACATTTTTCTCTGTAAAATAAATCCAAAAATCCATAGTGAACACCAGTGAAAAAAAAACTCAACAATAACGACAGAAAAAGTCAAATTATCTTAAATTGCTTTGTTGTTGTTGTTGTTATCGTTGTCGTCGTCGTTGTCGTCGTATAGTTTTTTGTTTATTATCAGTAAAAAAAATTAGCGATTACAATTGATAATTGGTTAAACTTGATGATGATTGTCGTCGGCTTTAAAAATAAAAATGAGACCAACACACTTAAATGAATGTGTGTGTATATAAATTGGCCATCAAATGATCAATGAAATTTTTTCCATTTTTCGATTTGTGTGTGTTTGTATTTCTAATTTTGTTTTGTTTTTTTTTTGTATTTCAATTGTTTTTTTACCTTCACTGTTTATGTGAAAAGAAATTTATTCATTCTTTTCAACCAAAACTTTGTTGTGATGATCGAATTCATTTGATTTTTGATTGAAAATTTCGAATCTTATTTTTGTTCAGAGAAAATTTCCTATCCGAAACCATCTTGACTCATTGCCCGGTAAGTTTCTTTTACAACAAAATTCATTTGTTAATATTCAGAATTTCCGGAGATTTTTGCATGTTTTTTTTGCATTGAAAAAAGTTACATACATTTTTTTGTACGTGATGGTTATAAATAATTTTTTTTTCATTGCTCTTTCGATTATCAATCACATCATCATCGAAATAATCTTATCGAACCGATGCAAAAAAAATTGCAATATTTCATACACGCGTTTATTGAACAATCAAATCAAATTATAAACGATCAATCGATCGATTGGTCCAGATGTTTGATTAAAAGAAAAAAGAAGTGATGAAAAAAATGACTGCCAAAAATCCTGGATATACCATGATTTAAATTAAAAAAAAATCCATTTTCATTCGAAATGATCCTGTTCATAAATGACGAATGTTAATGATTCAAAGTGTTTTTTTTAATTAAAATTAATCACAACACAAAAAACATTTAAATTTTATATATAAAAGGCCTGGACAAAATTAAAATTCCCATGTTTTTCATCATTAAAACAAAAAGTTTTTCTTTTCGATAACCCAGAATTATAACTCAAATGCATACTGCCTACGCCGTCACCATTACTATCAAACAAACAAACCCGGGATCATCATGAAAATTTCGAGAAAATACGGCCAACGGGCGATAATACATGCGGCATGTATATATTGATTTTATTTGTATTTTAGTAGTGCTGCCATCATCATCATCATCATCACCATTACACGCAGGCGTTTCCGATCATAAAATTGGTGTGTGTATGTAATCTTTTTTATATAAATGATGATGATGATGATGATAATGATTTATTTAACTGAAAGACATATATCTGTGTGACGTCACGTCACATCTCGTTACAAACAATGTAGCCTGTGAAAACGGTGTGTTGTGTTGTGGAATCTTTTCAAAAAACAATTTTTATATAGATTGTTGTGAGATGGCAAACTTTCTCTTGATTGATGATATTTCCACATATAAAAAGAGAGAAAATCTGACGTATTTTAAAAAAATGTAAAAATACTGCTTGTAAAACCTGTTGAGTTTTTGCCACAAAAACATCTTGCTCAAAGTGACACCAGCTGACGTATTCGAAGCGTGATGATGATTATGGCTTTATATATTGTGATATTGGGTGGAGTCATCATTGTGATCACTGATGATGATGATGATCATTGCATCATCATTGAATTCAAATGTTTACGTGTTGTGTGTGTGTTTCACGACGCATGATCATCGCGCAAGTCTAACTTTTTTTTTTTTGACTGTGTTAAAAACTTTTCATTTTGCCGGACTGCTTGCTGGACCAAACATTGATGATGATGCTACTGGAAACGTGTGTACACTCTTTATATATATCATGTTGAGTTTTTTTTTGCCAAAAAAACATCTTGCTCAAAGTGACACCAGCTGACGTATTCGATGATGATGATTATGGCTTTATATATTGTGATATTGGGTGGAGTCATCATTTTGATCACTGATGATGATGATCATCATCATCATCATTGAATTCAAATGTTTACGTGTTGTGTGTGTGTTTCACGACGCATGATCATCGCGCAAGTCTAACTTTTTTTTTTGACTGTGTTAAAAACTTTTCATTTTGCCGGACAGGATTTTTTTTTTTTTTGCTTTTCCATCCAAAATACCGGAGACTTTTTTGTTGTTACATTGCCCATTGCATTTTTTTTCTCTGTGACGTCATAGTAGTAGTAGTAGTATAGAAGTGATTATTTGCACTCACATAAAAACATACAACACACATACTTTAGGTACTGAAAAAGTATCAGAAAGAAAGTAGCAGTAGTTTCTTTCTTTCCCTCCCTCCTCCGAATACAAATACACACACACATATACACCTCCACCTTCATCATTATCACACCATATATATAATAATTTATTTACAATGTCAATGAGAATCAGCGAAAGAAACACTTTTTTTTTACCGGACAACCCCTCTTTGTTCAGGTTTTTTTTGCATTGATTATTTTGGATCAGAGTTCCACTAACGTTTTTTATTTTATTTTTTTGGCGCCTTTCCACCAAAGAAGAAAACATATTACCCCTACGAATGCCTAGAAAAAAAAACCATTTGATATTGGTTGGGTTTATCTTTCTAAATATCCGGTAATCAATCAATATTGAACTTTAAGAAAAAAAAGTCCAAAAAACTTGTGTGCTATACCCATCAACACCAAACCTAACCTTCTTTGATTGACAATTATGACGCATGTGCGTTGTTTTAAACACCACCACCACCACCACCGTCATTACCAATCCATGCATTCATTGTTTTTATAAAGAAAAATATGATATCAAATCAACAAAAACAACAACAGCAAAAAAAAACACGAGTTTAGGTATCCAGATTATTGTGGAAAAAAAATATGCAATCGAATCTTTTTTGTGTTGCAAAAAATAAAAGAAAAAGTAACAAAACACGCTACAAAAGGAGAGGGTGAGATGATGAAAGTGTGGTTGTGGTGGTGGTGGTGGAAGCGTGAGAATGTTGATGATGATGATGATAATGAGTATAGGGAAGGATAGAAAGGTGAATATTTACAATTACAACTACATTTGGAAATATCCTCCTCCTTTCTCATTCCATTTCTCCTCCTCATACTATTGGTCGTTCAAGCAAGCATGTAACAAACACTACCACACAGAGTAAGCTATTCAGCAGTCAGTCAGTCAGTCAGTCATTCCATTCAGAATTTATTTTTGGTGCGTGCGTTAAGTTCACGATATGTGTGGTGTGGTGTATGTTGGTTTTTTTTTCTCAATATTGGGGTTTATAGAATGTAAATGGATAGGATAGATAGTGTGTGTGTGTGTGTGTGTGTTGTTTGGTGAAACAAGAATGTGAAAAAAAAATGAAAAGAAAAACGGCTTGACCGTATATCACCAACCAAATATCGTGTTATTGTGTGTGTGTGTGTGTGTGTTAGTTGGCTTTACACCAGAATCCAGAATTATGGTTTGAATCTCAATTTTGATTATTTCATAAACATCGACATTGAACATTGATGTATTTGTCAATTTGTGTTTGTAGTATGTGTGTCATAAATCGCTATGTTTTTTTTTTTTTTGGTCAATTGCATAACCAATCAACCAACGACAACAACAGCAACAATGATAAAAAAAATAGTAGCCATGTGATTTTTTCTGAAAGTTTTTTTCTGTTTCGTTTTCGTTTTACTTGTTATTGAATCTTGTCTTTAATTTTTATAAACTTTTGGTTCAATTTCAAATTGGGCGTCGTCGTCATCATCTTATTAATTTTAGTGAGTATATCATTTGTATGTATGGATACTGTGTCTGTGTTTGTGTGTGTGTGGTTTTTGGGTTCGAATGTTTTTAATATTTGATAACACGCGCGATATTTTTTTTTTTTTGATAAACAATGTTGCCCTTGCCAATCATTTATCATCATCATCATCATTTGTATCCATAGTCCATTTCATTATCTTATCACTATAATTAGAGCTAAGAAAAAAAAATCATCAATAGATTATCGATAGTAAAATGATCATCATCTGTTCAATGTACATCAATTCATTCAATGATGATGATGATGATGATGAACGTTTGATTAAAATTCAGAATTATTTTTTTTGTGGATCATTAATGTTTTTTAAATTCTTTATCTCAATTTGTGTATAACGTCGTTTCAATAATAATTATTTTTTTTTTGCTGTTGTGAGTCATTGGTTTCTATGTGTGGACGATTACAAATCAAATCAAATCAAACCAAACCAAACCAAAACAATCAACCAACAAATAAAAAAACGCATACATTTTATTATACGGATATGATGATGATGATGATGGAGGGAAACCGATAGTGTTGTCATCATCATCATCATGATTGTCGTTGTCGTTGGATCACATACATATATTGTGTGTGTGTGTGTGTGTTTAAAATCATTTTTCTCTCTTGCACAAAAACACAAATCAATGAAACATGGCGTGATGATAATCATTCACTGATGATGATGATGATGATGTGTTTGCAATATGTTTGAAAATCACAAATTGTTTATGGTGATGATTATGAAGAAAATTTTATCTATATCTCTACGTACATGTCATGTTACTCTGTATATGAATATGTGAAAGTCACCCTCTATGTGTGTTTTGTTTTTGTTTGGTATTTATTCATTTTTCAAAATTATAAAAACACACAGATTTTTGTATTGAAATAAATTCTTTTTTCTTTACTGATGAAGAGCGCGCGTAATCTTGGTGTATGCGTGTGTGTAAATAATTAATTTTTAAAGTTTAAAGTTTAAAATGTTTCCAATTAAAAACTGCAAAAAAAAGATGGCTTCAATTATGGAACATGATGGTTAATTCTTTTTTTTGTGACAACAGCAACAACAACCACAACAACAAAAAGATGTGGACACTCAGAAATTTATCAGTTTTTTTTTCTTGGAACAGGATTGTTGTTTGATGAGTTGTTTTTGAAAAAAATAAGAGAAAGGCCTGCTGCTGTTAAGGTCAACATTCGTTTGTTTGTTTGTTTGTTTGTTTGTTTTTTATTGCTTTTTTTTCTTGAATTAATTGATGCAATAAATGTATATATAATATACTGATTTTCATTTCTCTCTTTTATAGGTAATATTAACACAACAGTGGAAAAACTTGAATTGGCTTGATATTTGTTGTCTATCATCATCATCATCATCATCGAATTTTTGTTATATTGAATTGAATTGAATACATTTTATTATTATTATTATTGAATGAACAACATCAACAAAACACCAACAAGAAAAAAGAAATCTTTATACATTTTTGTGAATAGTTAAATGAAGATGTCATCGTCGTCAAACGGTCATCGTATATCGTTGACCGGTACAAATAATAATAATACAATTGTTGCATCTTCCATTGCTTTAACACCATCATCATCCATTCATGGTGGTGGTCATTCAGCAACACAATCATCATCATCATCATCATCAATTATTAATTTAACTGGACAACATCCATCAACAGCAACGGTATCGGCTACTGGAACACTTTTGCAACATCATCATAATAATACTATAGTAGGAATGGCTACAACAACCCAAAGACAGAATTGTTATCTATGTGATTCACCACGTATGCCGTGGGCATTATTGCATGATTTCTCAGAAATTGTATGCCGTGGTTGTGTTAATTATGAAGGTGCTGATCGTATTGAATTAATCATTGATAATGCTCGACAAATGAAACGTGCAACTGGACATTTAATTGCACAACAACATCATCATCATCAACAACAACAACAACAACAACAACATCATCAAACAGCAGCAATCAATCATCATCATCAACATGCTATTGCAGCAGCAGCTGCTGCTGCTGCAGCCGCTTCTGTTCCATTTGTAATTCCACAAACCGGCAACACCCATGGCGTTGTTACACCTACTAATTTAACTACTAATGATCATCATCAACAGCAGCAAGTAGTATCAGCTAATCTACTTCGATCATCAGCGGCTGCTGCTGCTGCTGCTGCTGCATCGCAACAACAATCCCAACAAACATTTAAATTAAATGGTTCATTAACGGGTTATGGTACAACAGCAGCAGCAATTGAACATCGATCACAATCAGTTGGATCATCAGGATTGTCATCATATGAAAATTCAGGTCGTGGAAGTTCACCACGTACTTACGTAACAAATCCATCCTTAACATTGGCATCTACAACACTTGTTGGTGGTGCTGGTGGTGTAAGTTTATCATCAAGAAATTCTTCCGGACCGTCACAATCATCATCGACAACGACGTCGGGAAAACGTACGATACATATAGCTGATGATATAAATGATGTTGATGTAGTTGTATCAAATACACATCGTACACATTTAGTTTTGGATGAAATGAATGCTGCCGTTGCTGCTGCCGCTGTATTATCAGCTGGAAATCGTCCACCATTAACACGTGGTGAATCATTGCCCGCTGTTATGGCAGCACCAGGCATTGCATTAGCAAATGATCCAACATTAAGGAAATTATCTCGTGCTGACCAACTACATCATTCATCACATCCATCAATGAGTCGTGTAATGTCATTCGATTCAACGGTTTCAGCGAAAAATCTTTCCGCATCAGGTATTGGCATGACGAAGCCATTCTATTCAGCTGCTGTAGCGGCTGCCGCCGCCGCTGCTGCTTCAGCCACATCACCACCATTGATTGGAAATCAAAATTCAATCAACACATCATCATCATCATCATCTTCCACTAGTCTATTGCCCATTAAAAAATCTCGAACTTCAAATCAATCATTAGTTGATCAATCGGTAAATAGTCAAAATCAATTAACAGTGCCATCATCTACGGCCAATTCAATGGTCAATTCTCATCATCAACAACAACAACAACATCATCACCATCAACAACAACAACAACAATTGAGTAATCATCATTCACCACCATCATCAGCGACAGCAACACCACCAGCAGCACCATCTAATGCATCATCATCATCAACGCAAGCGACATCGGTACAATCCCCACCATTAAAATGTACATTGTGTCAAGAACGATTGGAAGATACACATTTTGTACAATGTCCATCAGTGTCAACGCACAAATTTTGTTTTCCATGTTCACGTGCATCGATTAAACAACAACAACAAGCTAATGCTATTGTTTCTGGTAATATTGGTGGTGTTGGTGGTGGTAATGGTGAAGTCTATTGTCCAAGTGGAGAAAAATGTCCATTAATGGGTAGTTCAGTACCATGGGCATTTATGCAAGGCGAAATATCAACAATATTGGGTGAAGATAATACACACAATTCATCACAATCGATTAATAGCAATAATAATAATAATAATGTGGCAAGTAGTACTGGTGGTAATCAATCATCGACTACCACTTCATCATCCTCATCATCATCGACATCATCAACAACAACAACGGCCAATAATAATACAAATTCATTACCACCACCACCTGGATTAACGGTTGCAACATCTATATCAACGACAAATGCATTAACCGTTGATCATCATTCAATTGCAACAAATGGTTTAGCGACAGCAGCAGCAGCAGCAAATGGTCAGCCATTGACAACAACAACACCAACAACAACTGTACCATTTAAAGTGAAAAAAGAAAGATCACAAGAATAAAAAATTGAATCATTTCATTCGAAACACAGGTAGACAATCAAATCATAAATACCGAGAGTAAAGGAGATTGGAATTTCAAATGTTGAAATCAAATTATCAATAATTTTCACGATTATTATGCAATAATAATGATAAAGAGAATTTGTAGAATGTTGCTTTTATATCGAGAAAACATATTGATGATGAAAACTGGAAAAAAAAGAATGATACACACACACCCACACAAACACATACAGAAACCCGAATGATCTCTTATTCAGATTTTTTTTTTTTTTTTTTGTTCAAAAAAACTCATGTTGAATCACACACACACATGAATTTCTTCCTTTTTCACAATCCACTAAAAATGATGATGATGATGATGAAAACGCACATTGATTGATTGATTGATTGAAAATAGTTCAGAAATGATGATTGTTTTTTCAGTTCATTTTTTAATCACTCACACAGCCACTCACTCATCATAACAATCACACACCGACACCCAATTTTCATTAAATTTTTTTCCAATACATACCCAACGACGAAATAAAATGATTTTCATTCATTTTTTTTTTTAAAAAAAAAAACAAAAGGAGAAAAAAAAATTGTATTACATTAAACATCATGAATTTATTTTATTTTCAATTTCCAATTTTTTTTCTTTCGTTCGTTTGTATATTATTCAATGATGATGATGATGTTCTTTATTGCAAAAAAAACAAATTCACAAACAAAAAAAACAAAACAAAAGATTAGCCGTATCAAAAACACCTACCATTTTTATTTACTAAAAAAATTCTTTTTTTTCTCTTTTTTCGCTGTTAACACCATGTAATCATTATCTTCCCGATTATTATTAATTATTAATCATCATTATTTTAATATAATATAATTGAAAATTGAAAATAAATTCATTAAAATAAATGAAATTTGAAACTTTGAAAGTTGATTCGATTATAACAACCACCACCACTTTATTATGTTCGAATTCGAATGAAATGAAAAAAAAAAATCCGAATATGCTGCCATCTAGGATTTTCCGGTACTACTGTATCTTTTTTTTTCTTTTTGGTTATGGTGAGATATAAAGTATCCGCCTATTTTATTTTCTGTCGATTCGAGTGCAAAGAACAAAATTTCATTACAATCGATTCTTTGTCTGTGTGTTTCTTTGTGTTTTATTTGATTGCCCGTGAATTTTTTTTTTTTTTCATTAATTTTCATTTCGATTAATTCATTTTTTTTTTTAAACTTTGTTTGTCTCTGTGTTTTTCATCCTTCGTTCGAAAGTTGTGTAGAACGAATTTTCAAACTCGTCAATAAAAAAAAATTCATTCAACCGACATTCACCATCATCAATAATGTCGGATTCATTATCATTAATGACAATGGATTCTGGTGGTGGTGATGGTATGCCTTCGGGACAATTCCATGATCAACAACCACAATCATCCTCATCATCAACATCGACAACTGGTGGTGGTGCTGGCACTGGATCCACATCAGCCACATTATTGGATGTATCGATATTAGTTGCATACATCAGACGTATGGTACCGGCATTCATGGAAGAAGATGGTTGCGTACCAAATTCACTTCGTCAATTATTGCTCAATGAATCGACATTGGAACAATTGAAAAAATTTATCCAAGAACCACAAACACGTTCGATACTTATTCAACGGCAGATTCTTAAAGGTAGAAAAAAAAATTTGAATTAAATACAAACTTATCATTCATATTACTACTACTAATAGATGATGATGAAGATGAAACTACTACCGGTAATAATAATGGTTCCATAATCGGAACCACTAATGGTGATGATGTATTATATACGATTGAATTGGAAGTTAAATATCATAATCCAAAAATTACTTCATTGGTTCTCATAAAAAATGGTTCAATATTGGAAGCAGATAAGCCATTATTAACCCAGTTACGTTTTATGAATCTAACGGATTCATTGCCATATGAAACACTGCATTCATATGTATCGGCTGCTGTTGCTCCGTATTTTAAATCTTTTGTCAAAGAAACTGGTCGTGCTGAAAGGTTTGAAAAAAAAATCCAAAGTTTTTTTTTGTTTGTTTGTTTCTAATCAATTTATCCAAACAGAGATGGTGATAAAATGGCACCAAATGTTGAGAAAAAAATTGCTGAACTTGAAATGGGTCTATTACATTTACAGCAAAATATCGATATACCCGAGATAACGCTGCAAATACATCCATATGTTCAACAGGTGATTAATAAATGTCGTGAAGATGGCCAGAAAATTACAATGGAACATTTTGGTGATAAAGTTAATGATTCAGTGTTTCTTAATCAACTGCAAGCTGGTGTTAATCGTTGGATACGTGAAATACAAAAAGTAACTAAACTTGATCGTGATGCCAGCAGTGGTACAGCAATGCAAGAAATTAGTTTTTGGCTAAATCTTGAACGTGCATTATTACGAATCCAAGAAAAACGTGAAAGTATTGAAGTGGTGACCACGTTGGAAATATTGAAAAATGGCAAACGATTTCATGCAACGGTTTCGTTTGACGCCGATACACGATTAAAAGAAGCATTGGCTACCGTAGCGGATTATAATCCATTGATGAAAGATTTTCCGCTCAACGATTTATTGGCCGCAACGGATTTACAAAAAATTCGTATTGCATTGCAAGTTTTATTTCAACATTTACGTAAAATTCGTAATACAAAATATCCAATGAAACGTGCATTGAAACTGATGGAAGCCATATCTAGGGATCTAATGTCCCAAATGCTTAAAGTACTTGGTACCAGACGTATGATGCATATCCCATATGAAGAATTTGATCGAATCATAACACAATGTTTTGAAGTATTCACTGCATGGGATGATGAATATGAAAAATTCCAGACGTTATTGCGTGATATTGTCAAAAAGAAACGTGATGAACATTTGAAAATGATTTGGCGTATAAATTTCGCTCATAAAAAACTACAGATACGTATGGAACAGATGCGTAAATTTCGTCGTCAACATGAACAATTACGTGCTGTTATATTGCGTGTTTTACGACCATCCACCTCTTCGGCTGTACTCAACAAAACAAAAGATGGCACTGATACGGAAACTGGATCTGAAAAAACGTCCGGTTTTGATTCCACATTATCATCGCAATCATCTACATCAATGATGGCATCTGCAGATATAAATGAAATTGAAGAAGTAAATATTGCCTATGAATTAGTAAAAGAAGTTGATGCATTAGATATGACAAAAGAAGGTACCGATTCATGGGAAGCATCGTTGAAACGTTATGAAGAACGTATTGATCGTGTTGAAGCACGTATTACTGCAAAACTTCGTGATCAACTTGGAATGGCTAAAAATGCTAACGAAATGTTTCGTATTTTCTCTCGTTTCAATGCATTGTTTGTTCGGCCACATATTAGTGGAGCGATTCGTGAATATCAAACTCAACTGATTCAACGTGTAAAAGATGATATTGAAACTTTACATGAAAAATTCAAAATACAATATCCACAGAATAAGGCATGTAAAATGTCACGTGTTTATGATCTGCCGCTGGTTTCTGGTTCGATAATATGGGCACGGCAAATTGAACGGAAATTATCTATTTATATGAAACGTGTTGAAGATGTATTGGGTAAAGGTTGGGAAAGCCATATTGAAGGCCAGAAATTGAAAAATGATGCTGAAAGTTTTCGTATGAAACTGAATACACAAAGTATTTTCGATGAATGGTGTCGTAATATACAACAAAAACAGCTAAATGTTAGTGGAAGAATATTCACTATTGAATCAACAAGAACACAACAAAGATCTGGTTTTCGTTTAAGAGTGAATTTCCTGCCGGATATCATTACATTGGCTAAAGAAGTACGTAATCTACGTAGTCTTGGATTTCGCGTCCCATTGGGTATTGTGAATAAAGCACATCAAGCAAATCAACATTTTCCATTTGCCGTTTCATTGATTGAAACTGTTAAGGCATATGAACGTGCATGTGAAAAAGTGGAACAAAAGCCTTCATTGGCATTGTTGGTGGCTGGTCTGAAATCTGAAGTACAAGAATTAATCTCTGAAGGTGCTACAATGGTCTGGGAATCATATAAACGTGATTCATATGTACAAAAATTGGGTGAAACTGTATTGAATTTCCAGGAAAAAGTCGATGAATTATTGGATATCGTCGAACAGATTGATGTGGAAGTCAAATCCATCGAAGATTGTACATATTCATCATTCACATTTATTGAAATATTGAACAAGATACAAAAAGCTGTTGATGATCTATCGTTGCATCGTTATTCTAATCTAAGTGAATGGGTACAACGTTTAGATAAAGAAGTTGAAAAACGTTTAGCGCTACGGTTACAAGCCGGTATCAAAGCATGGACACGTGCACTGGATGGTAATGCTGTTGGTGCTGGTGGTCATGGTAGCGGTGGTTCGAATAAAGACGGTACTGATACGGATACATTGACCGATACAGATTCACCGATCGCAAATATAGCCAGACCAGGTGGTGATCCACAAATACAAATCTTAATACATGAAATTCGCATTACCAATCAAGTGATGTATGTTAGTCCATCGATTGAAGAAGCAAGATTCAATCTATTGCAAGAATTGTTCGCTTGGCAAAATGTTATACTTACATTACAACGTATTGAATCAAGTCGTTATCAAGTTGGTTTGGATCGTCCACAATCGAGACACTATCGTGATCTATTGAATAAAATGCCTGATGATGGACCACAAATATTGAATCAAGCATATGAAGCGATTGAAATGAAAATCCGACAAATGCGTGATTACATTCAACAATGGCTCACATATCAATCATTATGGGATCTACAATCGGATATGCTTTACACTAAATTGGGTGATGATATAACGAAATGGATGAATACATTGGTGGAGATAAAAAAATCACGTACAACTTTTGATACCGCTGATACACGTAAAGAAATCGGACCACTAGTTGTGGATTATGCAAAAGTGCAATCAAAAGTTACGTTGAAATATGATTCATGGCACAAAGAAGTATTGAGTAAATTTGGTTCACTACTTGGCCAAGAAATGTCATCATTGCATTCAATCATATCGAATAGTCGATTGGAATTGGAAAAACAATCCATCGACACGGCTAATACAAAAGATGCTGTCACCTTTATAACGTATGTACAATCATTAAAATCGAAAATTTTGCAATGGGGCAAACAGGTAGAAATTTATAAAGAAGGACAACGAATTCTCGAAAGGCAACGTTTTCAATTTCCAAATAATTGGCTTCACGTCGATAATATTGATGGTGAATGGTCAGCTTTTAATGAAATAATGAAACGTAAAGATGCATCGATACAACACCAGGTAACATCATTGCAGGTGAAAATTGTTGCTGAAGATAAATTGGTTGAAGCAAGAACTGTGGAATTTTTGACGGAATGGGAACGTGGAAAACCAGTACAGGGATCAATAAATCCAAAAGAGGCATTGAACCGTTTAACAATTTTCGAAACAAAATTTAATCATCTACGTGAAGATCGTGACAATATAATGCGTGCAAAAGAAGCATTAGAATTGTTGGAACCTGGCTTATCAGCATCAAGTCCAAATGATGAAAAATTACAGGTATGAAATTAAATTGAGTTTGAATTCGAAGCAGTAAACAATTAATCCATTTCCATTATTACAGGTATCATTGGAAGAACTTCAAGATTTGAAATTCGTTTGGACTGAATTGGCAAAAGTTTGGGAACAAATTGACTCGTTGAAAGAGATGCCATGGTTATCGGTACAGCCAAGAAAACTTCGTCAACAACTAGATGGTCTGTTGGCTCAACTGAAAGAAATGCCGGCACGATTACGACAATATGCATCATATGATTATGTGAAACGTGTGTTACAATCATATACAAAATCCAATGTATTGATTGTAGAACTGAAATCCGATGCTTTGAAAGAACGTCATTGGCGTCATCTTTGTAAGCAATTACGTGTTCAATGGATATTATCAGAATTGACATTAGGACAAGTTTGGGATATCGACTTGCAGAAGAATGAAATTATAGTTAAAGATATCATACAAGTTGCACAAGGCGAAATGGCATTGGAAGAATTCCTGAAACAAGTTCGTGAATTTTGGCAAACTTATCAGTTGGAATTGATAAATTACCAGAATAAATGTCGTATCATACGTGGTTGGGATGATCTGTTCACCAAGGTGAAAGAACATATTAATTCAATATCGGCAATGAAATTATCACCATATTATAAAGAATTTGAAGAAGATGCCCTGTCATGGGAAGAAAAGCTGAATCGTATCAATGCAATTTTTGATGTTTGGATCGATGTACAACGCCGTTGGGTCTATCTCGAAGGAATATTTAGTGGCAGTTCAGACATCCAGGCATTGTTGCCGGTGGAAACATCAAGATTTCAATCAATTAGTTCAGAATTTTTACAATTAATGAAAAAAGTATCGAAAAATCCAATGATTATTGATGTAATGAATATACCTGGTGTACAGCGATCATTGGAACGTTTATCTGATTTATTGGGTAAAATACAAAAAGCATTAGGTGAATACCTGGAACGAGAACGTTCATCATTTCCACGTTTTTATTTTGTTGGCGATGAAGATTTATTGGAAATTATTGGCAATTCGAAAAATATTCTAAGATTACAAAAACATTTCAAAAAAATGTTTGCCGGCGTCTCTTCAATCATTTTGAATGATGATCAAACCCATGTATTAGGTTTGTGTTCAAAAGAAGGTGAAGAAGTACATTTTTTCAATCCGATATCGATAATTGATAATCCGAAAATCAATAAATGGCTTTCATTATTGGAACGAGAGATGCGTTATACATTGGGAAAATTATTGGCACAAGCTGTCTCAGATCAGGCACTATTTCGTATGAGTGGCCAACAAAAAATTGAAATGGATCAATTCATTCAATGGTTGGATCGATATCAAGCACAGATTGTCGTATTGGCTGTACAGATATCATGGTCTGAATCGGTTGAAACCGCGTTGATTCAATCACAACAACAACAACAAAAACAATTAGATCAAGTTCTTGAAGCAGTTGAGACAACGTTACAAATATTGGCTGATTCAGTGCTGCAAGAACAACCACCATTACGAAGAAAAAAACTTGAACATTTAATTACGGAATTTGTTCATAAGCGTGATGTGAACCAGGGAATTGATAAGAAAACAAATTCATTCGAATAAATCATTCGATTGGCTTTCGCAGATGCGTTTCTATTTTGATCCAAAACAAACAGATATTCTACAACAATTGACGATTCATATGGCAAATGCAAAATTTTTTTATGGTTTCGAATATCTTGGTGTCCAAGAAAAATTGGTACAAACACCGCTGACTGATCGTTGTTATCTTACTATGACACAAGCGCTAGAAGCACGTCTCGGTGGTTCACCATTTGGTCCAGCTGGTACTGGTAAAACCGAATCGGTTAAAGCATTAGGAAATCAATTGGGAAGATTTGTCCTGGTATTTAATTGCGATGAAACATTTGATTTTCAAGCAATGGGACGTATTTTTGTTGGTCTTTGTCAAGTCGGTGCTTGGGGTTGTTTTGATGAATTTAATCGTTTGGAAGAACGTATGTTATCGGCCGTATCGCAGCAAATACAACAAATTCAAGAAACATTAAAAATAATTCCAATAAATCTGAATTGGTTGTCGAATTAATCGGTAAACAAGTTCGAATCAATCAAGATATGGCAATATTCATCACGATGAATCCCGGTTATGCTGGCCGATCAAATTTGCCGGATAATTTGAAAAAATTATTCCGATCATTAGCAATGAATAAGCCGGATCGACAATTGATTGCTCAAGTGATGCTTTTCTCGCAAGGATTTCGTATGGCTGAAAAATTGGCTACGAAAATCGTACCATTTTTCAAGCTATGTGACGAACAATTATCGAATCAACCACATTATGATTTTGGTTTACGTGCATTAAAATCAGTGCTCGTTTCGGCTGGTAACATTAAACGTGATCGTATTCAACGTATACGTCAATCAGATCAAACTATTGATGAAGCAACCATTGCTGAACAATTACCGGAACAAGAGATTCTTATACAAAGTATTTGTGAAACAATGGTACCAAAATTAATTGCTGAAGATATACCGTTATTATTTTCATTATTATCCGATGTATTTCCTGGTATTAAATATACACGGGCAGAAATGCGAAAATTACGCGAAGAAATACGTAATGTTTGTAGCGAGATGTATCTTGTTTGTGATTACGGTGATGATGGTTGCCAACTGATAAATGATCAATCAATGACATCGAATTCGGACTCTGATTCACAACAAGATGAATGTTCATGGTTGGGTAAAGTGCTGCAATTATATCAAATATCACAACTTAATCATGGTTTAATGATGGTTGGACCATCTGGTAGCGGCAAATCAACAGCATGGAAAGTATTACTTCGCGCTTTAGAACGTTTTGATGGTCTTGAAGGTGTTGCACATGTAATAAATCCAAAAGCAATATCGAAAGAAGCCCTATATGGTACGCTGGATCCAAACACTCGTGAATGGACTGATGGTCTATTTACACATATATTGAGAAAAATTATTGATAATGTTCGTGGTGAAATTAATAAACGCCAGTGGATTATTTTCGATGGCGATGTGGATCCAGAATGGGTTGAGAATTTAAATTCAGTTTTGGATGATAATAAACTGCTTACATTGCCGAATGGTGAACGGCTTAGCATACCGCCAAATGTAAGAATTATGTTTGAAGTACAAGATCTGAAATATGCAACATTAGCCACTGTTTCACGTTGTGGTATGATCTGGTTCTCCGAAGATGTTCTTACAACGGAAATGATTTTTGAAAATTTTTTCGCTCGTCTACGCAATATTCCATTGGAAGATTTGGATGATGATTTATCATCGTCATTAGCTGCATACATGACAACAACGAAAACAACCGTAACAACAAAACCAGAACAAGATGACGCCGTTAGTGATTCATTGCAAATTCAAAGAAATTTTGCACAAATTTTACAAAATTATTTCTCACCCGATGGTCTTGTCAAACGAGCATTGGAATTTGCATCGAAACAAGAACATATAATGGATTTTACACGTTTACGTGCTCTAAGTTCGTTATTTTCATTATTAAATCAATGTTGCCGAAACATATTGCTTTATAATCAAAATCATCCGGATTTTCAAATCGCGTCGGATGTATTGGAAAAATATGTTCCATGTTCATTGGTTTATAGCATTCTGTGGTCATTTTCTGGTGATGGAAAACTAAAAGTTCGTCAAGATCTTGGTGAATTTATACGTAGTATAACGACAATCGCGTTACCACCAGCGAATCCAACATATTCATTGATTGACTATGAAATAACATTGAATGGTGAATGGTCATTATGGCAAAATAAAGTACCACAGATTGAAATTGAAACACATAAAGTGGCATCACCTGATGTTGTTGTACCAACGGTGGATACTGTACGTCATGAATTGCTGTTAAATACCTGGCTAGCTGAACATAAACCATTGGTACTTTGTGGTCCACCGGGTTCTGGTAAAACAATGACATTGTTCAATTCATTACGTTCATTACCAGATATGGAAGTTGTTGGTTTGAATTTCTCATCCGCCACAACCCCGGAATTGCTATTGAAAACATTTGATCATTATTGTGAATGTCGTAAAACACCGAATGGTCTGGTTATGTCGCCGATACAGATTGGAAAATGGCTCATCTTATTTTGTGATGAAATTAATCTACCACAAATGGATAAATATGGAACGATACGTGTCATTTCATTTTTACGACAATTGGTTGAATATGGTGGATTCTATCGAACGCAGGATCATTCATGGGTTCGTCTAGAGAGGATTCAATTTGTTGGTGCATGTAATCCACCAACGGATCCTGGCCGTAAACCATTATCACACCGCTTCTTGCGTCATGTTCCAATTATTTATGTAGATTATCCTGGCGAAACTTCGTTGAAACAAATTTATGGTACATTTAATCGTGCAATGTTGAAAATTATGCCCAACTTGCGTGCATATGCTGAACCCTTGACATCAGCTATGGTTGAATTTTATCTAATGTCCCAGGAACGTTTTACACAAGATATGCAACCACATTATGTTTATTCACCTCGTGAATTAACACGTTGGGTACGTGGTATTGTTGAGGCGATACGTCCACTTGATTCACTCACTGTCGAGGGATTAGTTCGTCTTTGGGCACATGAAGGTCTCCGGTTATTCCAGGATCGTCTTGTTGAAGATTATGAACGTCAATGGACCGATGAACATATCGATATGATTGCATTGAAACATTTTCCCAATATTGATCGTCAACAAGCACTAAATCGTCCAATTCTTTATAGTAATTGGCTTTCAAAAGATTATTTACCCGTTGATCGTGAACAATTGCGTGAATTTGTAAAAGCACGTTTAAAGGTTTTCTATGAAGAAGAATTAGATGTCCAACTGGTTTTATTCAATGAAGTTCTCGATCATGTTTTACGTATTGATCGTATTTTCCGTCAACCACAAGGACATCTTTTATTAATTGGTGTATCTGGAGCTGGTAAAACCACGTTATCACGTTTTGTTGCCTGGATGAATGGTTTGAGTATATTCCAGATTAAAGTTCATAATAAATATTCCGGTGCTGATTTCGATGAAGATTTACGTTCTGTATTACGGCGTTCTGGTTGTAAAAATGAAAAAATTTGTTTTATTCTCGATGAATCAAATGTATTGGATTCTGGTTTCTTGGAACGAATGAACACCTTGTTGGCAAATGGTGAAGTACCTGGTTTGTTTGAAGGTGATGAATACACGACACTGATCACACAGATTAAAGATGCAAGTCAACGCGAAGGTCTTATGTTGGATTCAAATGAAGAATTGTATAAATGGTTTACACAACAAGTGATAAAAAATCTACATGTTGTATTCACTATGAATCCATCAAGTGAAGGGTTAAAAGATCGTGCTGCCACATCGCCAGCTTTGTTTAATCGTTGTGTATTGAATTGGTTCGGTGATTGGACCCCGGAAGCACAATTTCAAGTTGGTTATGAATTCACATGTAAATTGGATTTGGAAAACGCTCGTTATGTACCACCAGAAACATTTCCGGCAGCATTTCATAATTTTCCACAATCACCAAGACATCGTGATGCTGTTATCAATTCCTTTGTTTACATTCATCAAACTTTACATCATGCAAATGAACGTCTTTTACGTCGTGGTGGCCGCATCACGACAATAACACCACGTCATTATCTGGACCTAATTAATCATTATGTGAAATTATTCTATGAAAAATGTTCAGAATTAGAAGATGAACAACTTCATTTGAATGTTGGCTTGACGAAAATCCGTGAAACTGTTGAACAAGTGGAAGAGTTGCAAAAATCATTGGCATCAAAATCAAATGATTTGGAAGCTAAAAATCAAGCTGCAAATGCTAAATTGAAAGAAATGTTAAAAGATCAACAAGAAGCTGAACGTGAAAAAGTTAAATCACAAGAGCTGCAATTAATGCTTAAAGTAAGTGAATCGATTGATTTGTTTTGTTCTGAAATTCATTCATTTTTTCAATCAATTCAATAGAAACAAGAAACGGAAATTGCAGAGAAAACCGCTGCAGTTATGGCCGATTTAGCACAAGTAAAACCAGCAGTTGAAGAAGCTCGTCAAGGTATGGTTGTTTTCTGGACAATAATTGAACACATTTATGTCGTTATCTTTTACGTTTGTTTTATTTTCGTTTCATGATTTTAATTTTTGTTTTTTTCATTTTGTTTTCATTTTTTTTCATTTCGGTTTCATTTTTCGTTTGATTCGCGCGTATTTCTTTTTTTTTGGAATTGAAAATTATTTTGAAAAAAATTAGCTGTACAATCGATCAAGAAACAGAATTTGGTGGAAGTAAAATCTATGACCAATCCACCACCGGCAGTTAAATTGGCCCTAGAATCCATTTGTTTACTGTTGGGTGAATCCACTACCGATTGGAAAGTGATTCGATCGATTTTGATGCGCGAAAATTTCATTTCTACAATTGTCAATTTTCAAACCGATAATATTACGTAAGCGAAAAATTACTAAACATTTTTTTCTCTTTTTCTCTCTTTGCTTTCCACCGCTTTGCTTGCTTGCTTCCTATGCACGTGTGTTTTATATTTTTGGCCACCAATCATTCAATCAATTAATCAACAGGAGTAAAATCAATCAAACGACAACATTTGGTCGAAATTCGTACAATGTCCAATCCGCCATCGATAATTAAAAATGTATTGGAATCAATATGTCTGTTGTTGGGTGAATCAACCACAGATTGGAAAGTACTACGTGGAATTATAATCAAAGAGAATTTCATACCAAATATAATTAGTTTTACCGCTGAAGATATCACGTAATTTAATAATAATATATATCGCTTAGTCGCTTGCTTTGATTTCTTTTCCTTTGAAATTATTCTTTTAATGCACCAATTTTTATCATTGACTAATGATTTTTTTTTTATTTATAGTGAAGATATTCGTCAAAAAATGATCACTAAATACATGCAAAATCCAGATTATAATTTTGAAAAAATCAAACATGCAAGTTTAGCCTGTGAACCATTGGTGAAATGGGCCATCGCACAGGTTAATTATGCGGATATGTTGAAAAAAATTGAACCACTGCGTAATGAATTGAAAAGTCTAGAAACCGAAGCGGATGCTAATAAAGCTAAAGCTGCGGAAACAGATCGCATTGTTGGACAATTAGAACGTTCGATTGCATCGTATAAAGAAGAATATGCAAATCTTGTATCACAAGCACAAGCAATCAAATCTGATTTGGCTAATGTTCAATCAAAAGTTGATCGATCAATTGCATTATTAAAAAGTCTTAGTAATGAACGTGAACGTTGGGAACATTCATCGGAAACATTTAAAAATCAAATGCAAACTATTGCTGGTGATTGTATACTATCGGCTGCATTCCTTGCTTATGCCGGTTATTTCGATCAACAATATCGACAATCATTGTTTAATTCATGGTGTACACATCTAAGTCAAGCAAAGATTCAATATCGATCTGATTTGGCTCTCACTGAATATCTATCCACAGCTGATGAACGTTTACGTTGGCAAGCCAATTCATTACCATCGGATGATTTATGTGTTGAAAATGCAATCATGTTGAAACGTTTCAATCGTTTCCCATTGATTATTGATCCATCTGGACAGGCTACTCGTTTCCTATTGTCGGAATTTGATCAAAAACGTATAACGAAAACAAGTTTCTTGGATGATTCATTCCGTAAAAATTTAGAATCCGCCTTGCGATTTGGTAATCCGCTGTTGGTTCAAGATGTAGAAAATTATGATCCAATATTGAATCCCGTTCTCAATCGTGAAGTGCGAAAAACCGGTGGTCGTGTATTAATTACTTTAGGAGATCAAGATATTGATCTTTCACCATCATTTTGTATATTTTTATCAACACGTGATCCAACAGTTGAGTTTCCTCCAGACATTTGTTCGCGTGTTACATTCGTCAATTTTACTGTAACACGTTCCAGTCTACAGGCACAATGTTTGAATCAAGTTTTACGTTGTGAACGTCCAGATATTGATGAAAAACGTTCAGATTTGTTGAAATTACAAGGTGAATTTCATGTGAAACTGCGAAGATTGGAAAAATCATTACTGCAAGCATTGAATGATGTAAAAGGAAGAATTCTAGATGATGATTCTATCATATCTACACTGGAAAAATTGAAACATGAAGCTGGTGAAATATCGAAAAAAGTCGAAGAAACCGACAAGGTGATTGCAGAAGTGGATTCCGTTTCACAACAATATAACCCATTGGCACAGGCTTGTAGTTCCATTTATTTCACATTGGAAGGATTGAATCAAGTTCATTTCCTATATCAATATTCATTGCAATTCTTTCTGGATATTTTCAATGATGTTCTAGCAAATAGTAATCAACAACAAATTACTGATTATAATCAACGTTTAGCTAATATAACGAAAAAACTATTTGAAGTTGTCTATGTTCGTGTTACGCGTGGAATGTTACACCAGGATTGGTTGGTTTTTGCATTACTGTTGTGTAAAATTTATATTCGTGGTTTTACAACGTAAGTCTGATAAGTTTTTTATCCTTTTAAAATTTTATTTTCCTTTTTATTTTTTTCAAGTGAACGAAATTTTGAAAATGAATTTGATCATCTGATGCGTGGCTTGGAAGGAATACTGCCTGGACAGCCATTAATCAATATACCACAAATACAATCGGATCGTTTAGAATCAGCCACAGCTTTATCGAAACTGCGGACATTCCGTAATTTACAGAAAAATGTTGATCACTGTTCCGGAGAATTTCATGAATGGCTAAATACTGGCACACCGGAAGATAATGTTCCTGTGGTTTGGGATGATGATAAAAACTTATCAGAAATTGGTAAAGTTATGCATCAATTACTCGTCATACATACTTTCCGTCCAGATCGTGTTATATCAATCATAAATCGTGTTGTGGCCGTTATTTTTGGTGAACATTTTTCACATATTGCTGAAAGTGAATACGATTTAGGTGCAGCTGTAGAAAAATTGATCAAAGCTAGTACACCAATTTTGATGTGCTCAGTACCTGGTTATGATGCAAGTGGACGTGTTGATGACTTAGCCGCTGAATTGAATCGTCCAATAACCTCGATTGCTATTGGTTCGGCTGAAGGGTTTTCTCAGGCTGAAAAAGCTATCAATTCAGCATCAAAAAGTGGAAAATGGGTTATGCTCAAAAATGTTCATCTAGCACCCCAATGGCTAGTACAATTGGAGAAAAAATTACATGCCTTACAATCAAATCCATCATTCAGATTGTTTTTAACATTGGAAATTCATCCAAAAATTCCTGTGAATCTGCTACGAGCAGGACGAATATTTGTTTTTGAACCACCACCAGGTATACGAGCCAATCTATTACGAACATTTTCAACGATTCCAGCATCAAGAATGATGAAATCACCAAATGAACGTTCGAGACTTTATTTTTTGGTTTCATGGTTTCATGCAATCGTCCAGGAACGACTTCGATATTGTCCATTAGGATGGTCCAAACGTTATGAATTTAATGAGTCTGATTTGAAAGTATCATTCGATACACTGGATACCTGGATCGATGCTGTATCAATGGGTCGTACAAATCTGCCCCCAGAAAAAGTACCATTCGATGCTATACGAACTCTGTTTGGTCAATGTATTTATGGTGGTAAAATTGATAATGATTTTGATCAACGTTTACTTACCACATTTCTTCAGAAATTGTTTACGCCAAAAAGTTTTGAACCAGAATTCGTTCTAGCTCGGGAACAAGATAATGAAAACATCATCGGATCATCAATGCCTAACATTACCATACCAGAAGGAATAATACGTCGTGATGAATTTTTGAATTGGGTAGAATCATTATCGGATCGCCAAACACCATCATGGCTTGGATTACCAAATAAAGCAGAGTTGGTTTTACTCACAAATCATGGTGTGGATTTGATTTCCAAATTATTGAAATTACAATTACTTGAAGATGATGATGATATCGTCGTAATTGGTTCAGATGGCATTGACACCAGTACGAATACGAATAGACAGGATAATGAAGATGGTCGTCCAGCTTGGATGCGTACATTATTGAATTCAGCATCAAATTGGCTCAAATTAATTCCCAATCAATTAGCCGCAATGAAGCGTACATCGGACAACATCAAAGAACCATTATATCGATATTTTGAACGTGAAGTTAATAATGCCAATAAATTGCTGCAAGTCGTACGACAAGATCTACTAGATGTTATTGCCATTTGTCGTGGCGAAAAGAAACAGACGAATTATCATCGAGAAATCACCGAATACCTGGCTAAAGGTATGATACCTAACCATTGGAAACGTTATCGTACACCAGAATCATTCACTGTGATTCAATGGATAACTGATTTCGCTGATCGTATTAAGCAGATGCAACAAATTTCATCATCATCTATTTCAAATCTAAAGGTAAAGATATTGAAAAATATTCATCATTTTTTTTAATTTTAAATAATTTTTTCATATTTAGAACCTTAATATTTGGCTTGGTGGATTATTCGTTCCGGAAGCTTATATAACGGCTACACGACAATTTGTTGCTCAAGCTAATGGTTGGTCATTGGAAGAATTGATGCTGCAGATTCATATTTCTGATTCCGATACATTGATTGATAAATCTTCATTCGGTATTGTTGGCTTAAAACTTCAAGGTGCCGAAGTACGACAAAATAAACTCTATGTAACTAATAAGATTTTATCACCACTGCAACTGACATCATTCAAATGGGTTCGTGTATCTGATACTGAAATGGATAAAAATCCAATGAACAAAGTTACATTACCTGTTTATCTGAATTCAACAAGATCGGAATTATTATTCTCCGTTGATTTAGAACTTGGTGATGGACAAGAAGAATATATGTTTTATGAACGAGGCGTAGCATTCATTTGTTCAAGTCAAATCTGATAATTTTGATTATTTTCTGAATTTTTAATTTTCTATTTTCTAATTTCAATAAAATTTCAATATATCGATTGAAAATTGCGCTAACAATCGTTGTAGACGATATTATCGATAGTTGTATCGTTTAGTCGTTCCATTGAAATCCTGATGAATCACATGTGATGGACAATGCGCCAAATTTTGTAAAATTTTTTCATTATTGAAACCTGTTGTTTGATAATCCACAATGAATCTTTTACCAAAATCAGCGAAAGAATTTGCAACTAAAGAATATTGGGATAAATTTTTTCAAAAACGAAAAGATTCATTCGAATGGTATGGCAATTATGATGAAATCAAACCACTATTGTTACAATATTTGAAACCGAATGATAATTTTCTCATTATTGGTTGTGGTAATTCAACATTGAGTGTTGATCTTTTCGATGATGGCTACGAGAACAACACTAGTATCGATATCAGTGAAATTGTTATCAATAAAATGATTTCCAAATATAAATCGAATGGAATTCGTGAACGACTGCAATTTGAATGTATGGATATGATGCAGATGAAATATTCGAATGAATCATTCAATATTGTTATCGATAAAGGTACATTGGATGCTGTTTGTTCCGATGCTGATATCGACATTGACAAAATGTTTGCTGAAATTTCAAGAGTTTTAAAATATTTTGGCCGTTATGTTTGTATATCATTGTTACAGGAACATGTATTGGAAAGATTGTTACATTGGTTTATCATTGAAAATCCAAACTGGATTTGTCGTATCCATCGTTGTCAGCAAATAATGCGGCAACAACAACAGCAGCAAGATTTGGATTTTGTCAATTTTCCTGTATTCATTGTAACTTGTTTAAAAATGAAAACAAAACTTCCAGAACCGTATTGTGAATTGGATATGAATGGCGAAAGAAAATTTAAAAAAATTCATAATCCAATTGGCGAAATGCCCACCATAATACGATCATTGCAACGGATGGAATTACTTAAATATATGATACGAAATGGTAAAATCGATGATGATAATTTCAATATTGAATTATTCGATGATTCCAGCAACAGCAATGATTGCCGTTACAAGTTTTATTTTGTACAAAAATCTATCATTGTTCGCTCGAACAACAACAACATCAGGTGTTCAGTATTCATTGTTCCACAAGGACGTGAACATGAATGGATGTTTGCCACGGGCAAAGGTAGAATAGAATTATTGAAACAATGCCGTTGTGATCGTTTAATCGTAGTGTTTCTAAGTCGTAAACATCATTATGAAAATATGGAAAGTATCAAAAATGATTTGGGCAATAAATTACAGGAATTTTTCCCCTTGTCATCATCATCGGAGAAGAAAATTGCCTTCCTCAGCATTGGTGAAGATATTGGTGAAAGAACTGTAGTATGGGAAGGTAACAGTGAATTTAATGGACAAATGTTTGTGGAAGATGTATGTATCGATAGCCAAATGTATAGACGTCTAGTATTTGCTAGCAATCACAATATCATTCAATCTGAAGCAAGATTAATGAAATCTAAAAAACACGGACCATCATCAATATATCGATGTCAACAAGATTTTCTTTCCTGTGATCATCATCAATATATTGCAGCTGGTTTGGCCATAATTAATAGACCATTTAAAAATCAATACAATCTTTTAATGATTGGTTTAGGTGGTGGTTGTTTCATCAGTTTTCTAGCTAATAATCTAAAATCCTACGATGATATCATTTTACATGTGACAGTAGTGGAAATTGATCCATTATTGGAACAAGTTGCTAGAAAATATTTTGATTTCGATAGAAAAACTCGAAAAAATGTCCAGATTAATATTGTAATCGATGATGGTCTACAATATCTGCGAACAAAATCTCAGGAAAATGAAAAGTTTGATTTCATCATATTCGATGTAGATAGTAAAAATCTCGAACTTGGCGTTAGTTGTCCACCAACAGAATTTGTTGAAAATGAATGCTTAAATCAAGTACAATCACTACTTGGCGATGAAGGCATTTTCATTCTGAATTTAGTGGCTAGAAATGAAGATTTAAAACAAGAAATTTATGAACGTTTAAAATGTTTATTTAATCATCGTTTCCGTTGGAAAGTGGATGAAGATGTAAATGAAATTTTATTTGCAACAAATATAGAACAGTTGGAATGGTTACGTAAAGATTGGAATTCAAATAGTCGATATGATTATATACGGAAATCATGTTTTCATATTGATTTATTGGCTGAAACATATCGTAAAATGTGTCTGAAACTAACATTTTGTTAACTCTTTATTGAATGTTTCATGGCTCGTTGGATTTGCTTCGATTATAATACCAGCTTGGAATTGTTGTTGATAATGAATCATGGTATTGGAATTGTGGATTTTTATTATTTCGATATTTTTCAGCCAAAGCTGCTTGTCGTGCTTGTTCTTGTGCACGGGCTATAGCTGCACGATGTGATGATGATAAAACACCTGCTACTGCTGCTGCTGATGTTCCTGATGATGATGATGATGATGATGTTGCTGGTAAGTATCCTCTTTGATATGGTGCCTGAATAGTTTAATGATCGTTTTTGTTTATTGTAAAATAGCTCATTTTATAAGTGCAAATTATTGAACTAACCCGATTTGGATTATAATTAATATTGTTGTGGTGATAATAATCTCGTTCACGAGGATGATAATCACGGCTTATCGTTTCCAATTCGGATGATTTAAATAATGATACTTCGAATGTTGGATCCACTGATGTTGAATTGAATTTGTAATTTATCTGATAATTTTGAATTATTGAAAATTAATAACCGAGCAAAGATATGAACACAAAACATACCACTATTTTGTTTTGGCTATTTTTTGGCATAAAATTATAACGACCATATAGCAATCCCGTTGGTGTGAGTATCTCTTCACGAGAATTGCTTTTATCACCGGTTGCAAAATTTATACTATAAGTTGCATTACCAACTTTCAATGTGACATGTCCTTTGAAATCTTCATTGCTATCAATTGAATCAAATGTCAACTTTGAAAAAAATGGAAAAATTTTTTAATTTCACAAATCATCAACTGATCAATTGGCTTACATTTGCATTTGGCCTCACACATCCTGATTGATTATGATCGGCCATCATTTCATCATTATTGGCAATATTGATGACATCGAATTCAACATCTGGTTGATTACGATTTGGGTCGATTGTATATTGTAGCTATGAAAAAGTTAAAAATCATGAATACATTGAACAAAAATCTGTAAAAACCAAACAAACCTTTTTAGTTTGATTTTGTTCATTTCGAAATAGATAAAATCCACTGGTAACGCCATCTTCATTGCTAAATTCATTACGTATTTGTTGACCATGATTCAGATCAATCTGATATGCCCATGATTTTGATCCGATTTTAATACGAGTTTGTGTTGCATACGCAATTCCAATCAAAAATATCAATATTAATTTCAACATTTTTTTCTTTCAATCATTCAATAATCTTCAATGATGGTCGTCGAACACATACAACACCAGAAAAATGAATGAATTTGAAATTGAAAGTAGAAATTTTTATATATTTGATGATGGTTACAGTCCCTTTATTTTGATGAATTTGAATGAATGAAAAAAAAAATCATCTGCACAAAATACCGATGATACCATCCATCGATCTATTCATCGACAAGACACGAAACAGAATCATATTATTGTCTTTGCATCACACACACACACACAATCAGATCGTGATAAAGATACGGACATGTGCACAAATGTGATCAACATGATTGCTAATTGAATATTGAAAATGAAATTAAAAAAAAATTGAATTAATACCATTAATTGTGTGAACAAAGAGATCCTAGTCATCGTTTGTTGTTTGATAATTGTCCTTGGCCATTTATACACCACGTTTTTTCATTTTTAATTTTTCCTGTTTTCGTTTCTGAAATAAAATTTTCATCATTGATTTCATTGAAATAATTAAACACACGCACACACACACAGACACGGAGCCAAAACAATGGAATTCATTATTTATTGATTCAAAAATAAAGCTTTGTTTTCATTAAATTTCGGCGCGAAATTTTTTGTTTCAAATAATTTAATGATTGTAAAGTTTGCCAATGATACTTTCAATGTATCAACTGGGTAATTTTTGTGATAGCATTAAGCTCCTCCCTTATCTTTTGATACAGTCAATTTTCGATTCATACATGTGCATTGGTTTTGTTCATTGTTAAAATCATCTTAAAGGTTATGATGATGATTGAAAATAGGTAAATTGACTGTGTCGATTCATATGATCCATTGGAACAATAATGAGTGTCTCTGATTCATGCTTGCATTCAACATTCGGTTATTTGAACGAAAAACTGATGTTTTTTTTCTTGTAAAACTCAATATTAATTTTGTTCAATTTTTTTTGTCATCATCCATGTTTATTATAATTCTCAGGTTTCATTTTGTTGGATAAATTTTTTGTTATTATTGTTCACCATTTATCGATTCACGATTGTCATTCGAAAACAATGAGTGTAAATCCATTTATGCCTTCCACACATGGCCATCCAAATTTTAATCCAACCAAAAGTGTTTCAACAAAAAACTTTTCATTTGTAAGTTTACAAAATTAATTAGACAAAGATTAATGTTTTATTAATTAATTAATATAAACATGAAACTAGGATATGCCACGAACTACGAAACAACCAAAACCACCGGATAAGCCATTAATACCATATATGCGTTATAGTAAAAAAGTTTGGGATGATGTAAAAGCACAATTTCCTGATTTAAAAGTATGGGAAATCAGCAAAATTGTTGGACAAATGTGGCGTGATCTTGATGAGAATGAAAAACAGAAATATATTGATGAATTTGAGGTGGAAAAAATTGAATATAATGAATTATTGAAACAATATCATGATTCTCCCGCATATCTATCATGGATTGCATCATTGAAAACCAAAGGTTTGTTCTGTCTCCATTCATTCATTCTAATTGATTCGTTTTTTTTTGACCACAAACATATAGAAAACGAAGACCGTGAAGGTATAATGATGATGATGAATAAAAAGCGAGATAAACGATCTCATAATAGTAATAGTAATCAATCACACAATTCTCCACAACGATCGGATGGACGCTTCAGTGTGCAACCAATGGATGGTAGTGATGAAAATGATGAATATTTCTCGGCCAAACATTTAGCCGCTGCGCGTTATTATCGTAATAATAAACTTGTCAATGACATATTCACTGAGACTATTGTGCCGGAAAGTCGTCATGCATTCGATGTTAAAGTACAGGTATTACGTCGTCAAGTTGATTCGCTAACAGTTTATCAGAAAAAAATGATGGATGAATTACAACAAATCGAGGAAAGATTTCAGCAGAAAAAACATTCATTAATAGAATCAAGCGAAAAATTTCAGAATGAAATGAATAAGCGTTTTGCACCGAATGATTTGGATTCAACATTAAAAGATCATTATCGTCGTACATTGATTAAAACGATGGAAATAATGAAAGGTGAACAACATCATCGACAACAACAACAACAACCATCGCAACAGCAAAATAATATAAATGGTGTTGATGACAATAAATCTAATGAAAATCAGCAAGAAAATACTGACAACAACAACAACAAATGATGATTCACAAAATTGACATGTGAATTTGTTATGATGATTATCCAAATTCGATGAATCATCTTCATTCATTTATTTCATTTCATTACATGCCATTGTACCAATCATCATCATGATATTTTTTAACTATATATTAAACACATGTGAACGGACAATAATAAGACGATTTCAATTTGAATTGGAAATAATAATAAATAAAAAAAAATTTATTAATTTTATACAAATTTCGTAATGAAAAACCAAGATGGCAGCAGAGGGATTTCACCAAATGATCGTTGATTCGTGGTGGCGGTATTGGGTGCAACAACAACGCATATATAACCAAAACTTGAACTCAACTCTCTCACACTGTCATATGTGTGCATGCAAAATACATGCGGATATTTATCTTTCTTTCTTGATTTTTTGGGGCGAGGCACACAAACAAAACATTCACTGAACTGCTACTGTTATATATTTCTCTGGTTTTGTTTATGTTTATGTTTGTTGTAGCGGTAAATAAAAATTGTTTTTTTTCTGGATTTGGATATATCTCTAACAATTGATTCTTTTCAATGGAAAAATGAACGGGAGAACCAAAATATTTCATTGCGTCCATCATCATTATTACAATCCATGGATGGATTGAATTTTTTGTTTGTGTGTTGTATCCTCTTTTTTTTGACAACTGGAATTTCTATTTCTGTTTTGTTCGTCGTTCGTCGGTTGCCATCATCATCATCATCATCATAAATTGTCATGTTACATGAGAATTTCTTTCTTTCATTCAATTTGTTTGTTTTAATAATCTGGTATTTGCTTACACACACACACACATCCATAGAGAGAGAGAAAGAGCAAATATTTATTATGACAATGTAATTGTTTATGTTAGTGTGTGTGTGTGTCTGGGTTATTCATCGCTCGTTTAATATAAAAAATGAAATGAAAATATGTATTTTTCCATCATTTGGATCCAATTATTATGAATGATGAACATGATGATTATCAATTTTTGGCATTATTTCAATGGCGAAAACACACAACAATCAAACATACAGATGCGAAAATGAATAAAAACGCACAAATTTTTTTTTTATCATTTGAATCCGTTGTTTTTAGTTTTTAATAATTTCAATTTTTCCATGATGGTTGTCCATTAAATTTTCAAATTTCGCCAATTATCAATCAATGTTTTTAATCAAATAATAATGATGATCCAATCGTCGTTTGTCGTGTGAACAAAACAACAACATTATTTTTCCAGTAAGTTGATGTTTTTTTTCGATTGTTGTGATTTATTTTTTCTTTCTCTTTTTGTCATTCATCCCAGAAAAACTCAAAATCTATTGATGCAAAAAATGGCAGACAAAACAAATACCAAACAAATGTCATCATCGACAATGACAGCAACAGCAACAACAACAACAATGTGGTCAAATAATAATAAACCAGTAAAAATGAAATTGTTTGGCGCTTGGGAGATTGATAAAACCCCATCAGATTGTATACCGAGATTATGTTCACTGAATATAACACGTTTAACATTGAATAAATCACTATGGACAGATGCTACAGCCATTATGGTTGCTGTTAAAATGCAAAATTCAAAACGTATTTTACGTTCAAATGAAATAACTATACCATCATCGACAACTAATCAATCGAATGATCAACAACAACAACAACAATCAAATGTTGGATATTGAATTAGATCTTTCATTTACATTACAATATCCACATTTTATAAAAAGAAATCGAAATTATCTACAAATTATATTACAGCGAAGAAAAAAATATAAAAATAAAGCAATACTTGGTAAGTTTGTCTGTGTTAATTATCATCATTATCATTAATCATTAATCATTAATATTATTATTATATTAATTATCATCTATATCCACTGTTGAAAAGGTTACAAAACATTAGCTTGTGGCCTAATTGATATGGTTGAAGTATTACAACGTTCAACTATCAATGAAAAAACACTTGATCTAATTGGCCGTGTAAAAGATATTGGAAAAAATGAAATTATTGCACGAATAATGATTTCATCGCTGAAAAGTCAACCAATCGATAATCAAGATAATAGTAGTGGTAATTTACGACGTGGAAAAGTTTCTATTGATCGTCCCGATGTTTATAGTGATGATGATGATTTCACTTCTGCTGAAGATGGCAGTGATAGTGAAACGATTGAAGAAGGTAATAATGTTATGTTTCGTCGTAAACTGAATCATGATCATAAATCACGAAAACTATTCACTACAAATGATAAATTTCGTTCGATTGTTCCAACGAATGTACAGCAAAGAAATTTGAAACAGAAATTCATATCATTATTGAAAAAATTTCGTTTACCCGATTCTGAAGCCTATGATTCGGAGGAAAAATTTCAGGAAGCATTGGAAAAAGAATTAATGTCGTCTACGCAGGAACCGCCAGAAGATATTGATGAATTTTTTGATGATGAAGAAATCGATGATCTTGATTATATGACAGATAGTGGGCAAGAATTTGATGATGTTAGTATCTCTTCCACGCCTAAACCAAGTTTAAGGCCATTCTTTTCATCCTGTACACTGGTGGGACAGGATAAATCCTATGAGGTAAGTTCTAATTTCATAATTATGATGATGATTTTTCACATTCATTCATCTATATTGAATAGTTTCCCATTGCTGAACACAATAACAATAATTCAACAAATAAACTAGATGAAAGTCAAGAAACCTCGGGTACTGATGGTACACCAGAAACATCGGATAATAGCCAGAAACAAATGAATTTGGATTTGGTGGATACATTAATCGTACCATCAGCACACAATAAGAAGAAATTGAGCTTTGATAAAGAAACGAAACGTGTAAAACTTTTTCCCAGAGATAAAGACAATAAAAATCATCACCATAATCATAGGGAAAAGGAGAAAAAATCTTTACACGCAACAATGTCATTGTTATCAACGACGACAAATTATCATCATCATAAAGATGACACAGCAGCAACAAATACTGTATGTTTAATTTTTTTCCTCGAAATTTTAATTAATTTATTTATTTACTTATCCCACATAGTCGAAAGAATTTGTTCTCGATCAATTGAACAAGGTTTTTGTGGAAGAACCGACGGCCACTATACCGGAAGAGATAATATTTATCAATCTAACGGAATGTATGCATAATAATCAACAAGAACAACAATCATTCATACAAATGTTTGAACGTACAAATTATCGAATAATCACAACAAATACATTGAATGATATACGTTTATCGTTCAATTTCCTCTGTAATCGTATACAAAAATATTGCAATAATAATAATAATCTGAAAATCTCGACACCAATCAAATTAATATTGATTGGTTCTGATCCATACATCAATTCGTTTCTACGTTATTATGTTGAATCATTGGCCAATAAATCGCAGGAATGGCAAAATTTTTTCCGTTTCTTCATCATTCCAATCAATTATCTGTATCATCATGGTTATCATCATCCGCATCATCATTATGGATCAAATATGCTTCATAAATACATTGCTAGTATAGATCAAACATATTCACAATATTTTTTTCCATCAACAACAACAACAAAATCATTAACGACAAAAGACTATGATTCTAGTCGCTTTATTAACAACACCACCATCACCACCACCACCATTGCTGAAAATAATCAATCATCGATTGATAATAATAATAATCTGCAAGGAATACATGAATTTTATCAGAAAATTGTAAATTTTATAAATAATGCTCAAACCGTAATACAGATACCAATAGCTGAAGCAATGGTCACATATAAAGATAAAAATTTTGATGATGAATCCAATCAGGTTTTTATTCCATTTATTTGTGATGTTAAAATTGGTAAGTATGGCTTTTGAATTTCGTTTCATTCAAGTAATGATTTTCAAATATTTAGGTCTTGCAGATCACGCTGGCAGCCATTCAATGGAAGAAGAATTATTCAATTTCTCAACGGTTGGTATTAATTTATCATCAAATTCAATGCTACAACAACAATCGCAACCACAAGTTTCAACAACGCAAGCAATGATGATGATTGATAAATCTATTATTACATCACCGACATTTAATTCAAAAGATCAACAGCAGCAACAACAACATATATCAACGCCACCAAATTCTCCCAGCATGACTGCAACAACAACAGCTAATAATCAGCATGTATTCAATCAATTGATGAATAAAGAATCAATGATGATGAATGAGGTAATGGATTTACAATTTGATTATTGGACAGCATCATTGCAGCCAAGAATTGTCGATATTTCCTCATCATCAGCAATGGCTTCATCATCATCGTCGTCTTCATCATCGTCGAATAAAAAAAGCGATAATTGTAAATTTACATTGAAAAATTCATTCCGTCATGTACAAATAACTCGTTTACCAAATTTTGGTGAAGCAACTTGTTCATCATTAACTTTCTCGTACATTACCAAAGAGAAGAAACAGAAAAGTTTGTATTTGATTGATTGATGAGATTTTTTTTTTTATTTATTTGAATTTTTTTTTGTTCCAGTCATGAGATTAGGTAAGAAAAAAGAAAAAGATGTTGATGGCAATAAATGTCCAAGGCAAACAATTGAAGGAATTTGTCGTCTAGTTTGCTCGTATAAAACATCGCAATCACCAATTAAATGTAAGTTTTATTTCATTTTGATTTACGGTAATTTTTTTTCATTCATAATTTTCCTCGTCATCATAGTGATAATTGATGGTGTTGAATATTCCGGAGTAAAATTTTTCCAACTAACACCACAATGGCAAACACAGGTAAAATTTTTTCCTATCGTCATCTATTCAAACAATCCACCACCATTATCATCATCATTAACAACAACAACGACGACGACGTCAATGATTGATAAAGATATCGCTTCATCATCATCATCATCGAATCATGTGATGCACCAACAACAACAACACAATAATAGCCAAAATGATAATTATCATCATCATCGTGTTTTACATCATTAATAACCATGAAAAATGAGCCAAAATTTCCATAATTGATTAGTTTTATCGTTTTTATTTGAAAAAAACATTTTTTTTTTCGTTGTTTTGGTAAACCACATAACACATATTTTTGTTTTTTTTTAAACTTCATTTTTTACCATTGTTGATTGTCGAATTTATTATTATTTCTTTATCCATTTTTACATTATTTGTGTGTGTGTGTATCTCGAAAACAAACAAACATTTTACCTCTTTCTCTCTGATATATTTACATTTTTGTTTGAATTTCTCATCTTTTTTTTAAATATATCCAAACTAGTCCATTTTACCCTAATCCTACTTCTTTATCATTCTAATTGAAATTGTATGTGATTTCAAATCAATCCATTCTTTCTCATAGCTTACTATTCGTATTTATAACATTGATTGATGATCATTTGGCACCACTAAAAGCTCACCAATCATCATCATCATTTTTATTTCTTAAAAAATAAAATTTTCATTCGAATTTTGAATTTACTATTTTGACATTTGTGGTTATTGTTAGGTGTATGTAGTAGAAGATTCATGCATGTTTTTTTTTGTTTTCGGATTGATTGATTAGAATTGTTAGCTCTAAATAAATAAACAAAAATGTCATCGTGTGAGCAAGCATCACCGAAGGATCAGATTGTTTTCATCACCAAACAAGATTATGAAAATAATCGACCATCCACAGAGTCATTGAAGCTACCAGAATTGCCTGAAAGCGATCAAAGTCGTGGTCTTATCATGCCGAATGGTGAATTAAATTTCAATTGCCCATGTTTAGGTGGAATGGCTTCCGGACCTTGTGGTTATGAATTTCGACAAGCATTCAGTTGTTTTCATTATTCCACCAACGAAGTTAAAGGTTCCGAATGTGTGGATAAATTTATCGAAATGAATAATTGTATGACCAGATATCCAAATCTTTATGCTAATGAAAATGCCGCTATGAATGCTGAACCTGCGGATTTTATTCAATCTAGTGAACAACAACAACTCGACATTGATCAAATGGAACAATTAAAATCAAATGTTTAGAAATGTGTTGAATCCTAAATGAAATGATCATCTTGTTTTGTAGAAATAAAAATTTCCAAATCAATAAAAATTTATTCTTGCTCGTCATCAATAGATGGCGATACTGTTTGAGCGCCAAATTGTTTTTGTTTTTTTGTCTGTGATGTGTGTGTGTGTTTGATATCTCCTGTTTTTTTTTGCAATTTGTTTGAGCATCAGGTATTTGATCATGGATCCCGAGAAAAAAGTATCTGTCATCGATCAATGAATGATTAATTAATGGGTTGGATCACACTTATAAGGAAAAACGCCAACGACGACATTGTTTTTTTATGCTTTTGATCATCATTGTCGCACCCAAATGTGGAAAAATGCAATTTTTCATTGCCATAAATAACAAACATTTGACCATTTGGTTTATGGCGCCATACACAAATCAATGAATGAATGATGGATACCTGTATGTTCCAAGAGGCCCGAATGACCATCATCATCATCATCATCATTGAAATTCAACAAACTCAACAAACATTCGAAAGAAAGAAAAATTCATTTCGCAAGGATGGCGACGACGACGATTGCTTATTTTTATTTTTTTTTTTTTTTTGCCATTTGCATATTGATGATGATGATAAACACACCATTCATTGGCGTCATCATTCAATTCAATTCAATTCAATTCGAATCATTCTCGTCGTTTAAAAACATTGCCACCACCAATTTATATATACGGAATGTATGTGTATGTATTAACGATGGCTGCTGCTTGTTGTTTTTTGACGCATGAATCCTCACAATCATTCAAGTCCGTTTGTGTTTTTGAAAAAGGCGAAAAAAGATTGTCAAGTTTTATATATGTGGTGAATGAATGAATATTGTTGTTTTTGGCGTTGGTTTTTTTATCCTTCTCGTTTTATACATTGTACGGCCCATCAGGCGTGAACATCCAATTGATCAAATGGTAAAATGATACTCCTCATTGAATGGGATGGACAAATGTTGAAAACAAGGCGGTCTTTCCAATCGTCGTTGTCGTCGTCGTCGTGATGATCACCATCATCATTATTGTTATGGCAAAAAACCATTGAAGACCACAAACTAACGATACAACAACAACAACAACAGGCCATCCATTCATTGAAAATGCTACTTTTTTTCTAAATTGAACATGCGTATATTATTCTTTTCAAAGCAAAATCCTCATCATCATCATCATCATCATTCATTTATTATTATCTTCATTCACAAATGGTAATAAGAAATGATGTTGGTAATATGCGACTGACTGATTTAGTTTCATTCCACCAAACAACGACAACAACAACAACCACTAAATGGTTTCATCTTGTTTTTCACGCTAGCAATTTTTTTTTAATGATTGAGATTAACGCATTTTTCTGTTTGGTTGGTTGATTGGAATTTATTTTTCACGTACATCATCATCATCATCATTGATCATCATTGATATTGTGTTTCGTCGTCATTGTCGTAGTCGTTGTTGTTGGAGAAAAAAAAATTATCAACCATTTAATTTTTGCCATTGAAAATTATCACACTTGTAGTGTTTGGTTTAATTTGAAAATTTTTCAAAAAAAAAAGTAAATCATCAATGATTCACTACCGTTGATCTCAATCAAACGATCATTTTGTTTCATCAATCAATCAGTGTTTGTGTTTTTTTTTTGTTTTGTTTTGTTTGGTTTCATTCCAAATTTTGAATCAAATCAAAAAAGTACGTGTATCATTTGTGTTTTGTGTGTTCAAGTTTGTTTTCTGTGAATCTGTGTTTTGTTTTTTTGAAAATTCTTCTTCATCACTATAGTGAATATTGTGTTGTGTTGTGTTGATTGTTGTTTTCATCTAATAATTTTCATCGTTTGATTTTGTATTCAACAAGAAAAAATCATCAATGATGGCCCATAGGGTAAGACATCGACAACAAACAACGAATAACGAATTTTGGTGTCATTTTTTCATATGTTTATTTCATTTGACCAACAACAGTATGATGACGGGCTTTATGGATCGATGGAGAATCCATATGCAACAATGTCCGGTTTAGGATCAGGACATGTAGCAGCTCATCTATCGAATCATGGTACACCACAGCCACAACCACCACCACCACCATCATCGATGCATAATTCTTATCATAATAATAATCACCATGTTATGTCAAACAATGGTCCAATGTTGGGACAAATGGCAGACAAAAGAGACAAGGATGCAATCTATGGGTATGTTTTTTCATCCATTTATTCCATCCAAATGCATTGAATTGACAAATTTGCATTCATTTTTCACAGACATCCATTATTTCCATTATTGGCATTAATATTTGAAAAATGTGAATTGGCCACCTGTACACCAAGAGAACCTGGTGTTACCGGTGGTGATGTTTGCTCATCAGAATCATTTAATGAAGATATTGCTGTATTTGCTAAACAGGTAAACAGTCATTTGTTTCCAGATCAATAATAATTTCATTCATTCATTTTTTTTGATTTCAAACAAGATTCGTCAAGAAAAACCATACTATGTACCGAATCCTGAATTAGATAGTTTGGTAAGTTGTGTCCTGTCTTATAACTGTCAAATTTTATCATTCTAAAATGGAATTCATATCATTATAATGTAGATGGTTCAAGCAATTCAAGTGTTAAGGTTCCATCTTCTTGAACTTGAAAAGGTATGTGTAAAATTTCTTTTTCTGTTCTTTTAATTGCCAAACAACAATTGATTAGACCCTGATTGATGTTTTTTTTCTTAAAAAACTTTTTATAATTGATCGAAATTGATTGAATTCCAATTTTATTCAATGTCAAATCAATTGTTACCTTTGAACTTTGCACATAAATAGCAGGTTAAGGTGCTCTCTGGGTTCATTGAAGCATTTTACATTGTCAATCAAATTGTCTATCATCCTATTAGATAGATAGGGTAATCACTAGGTTTGTTGTTGTTCTGTGGAAAAAAACAACAACAACAACGCCACTATATAAGGCTTATTTTTTTTTTTTTTTTTTTTTCCATTGTCAAATCGTTTGTGTAAAACGTTACCACCAATACCACCACCGATTAACGATCCCGAAAACAACAAGCCTGGCGTAATTCCTTTGGTTGGTTGTGGTTCACTAGATTTGACTTGTCAGGTCCATCATCTCATCATCATCCGATGATTATTATGATAATGATTATTATTATGATGCTCAAACGACCAGCAATTTTTTCAAAAAAAAGTTTGTAACAAAAATAATGATATTGTGGTGGTCGATTTTGTTCAACCATTCATTTTGAATTCTTTTTTTTCATCTCTGTGATTCTTGCTTTATAATTTAAGGTTTTATTTGATGAACAAGACAATTTAGATTTTTCTTTTGCTTGTCAAGAATTTTCATCCAAATAGAGGTCAAATAGAATGGTTCATATCATTCTCATCATATGGAAAAAAAATTCATAAGATTCGTGAATGTCAATTTGATATGATGATGATAACTTGTGTCTATCCATGTGTGTGTGTGTGTGATTTGAATCTTTTTTTTCTGTTTTTCTTTCTATTATTACCTAGCCTGATATTCAGGTATGTTATTTGTTCATGAAATAACAACATGGTGATGAAAACAAGCTTTTCAAAAAAATCGAAATAAGATCAACCGAGAAAAAAAAATACGAAATGATGAACGATATGAATGAGATAGAGAAACAGGGATTTTTTTTTATTTTGAATAGGCCATTCGATGTTGTTGACATGTCGGAAAATGTGATGTCTTGTCTTGTTGGTTATCATCATCATTTTTTTTTGTTCGAAACTTATTAAGTATAGTTTTTCATTTCATCGCCGATGAAAAAATTGATGATGATGATGATAGAGGGAGATAATATTAATATTATGCTCGATGATGATGATGATATGATCGGGCCAATTTTTTGTTTAAATGACTGTTTTCGGATCGTTTATAATTGATGATAATGATGATGATGATAATTGAAAATTTTACATTTTTTTTCTTTATTAATTATGAATCATTTTCATTTTCATTTTTGACAATTTAGGTACATGAATTATGTGACAATTTTTGTCAACGTTACATCAGCTGTTTAAAAGGGAAAATGCCCATTGATTTGGTCATCGATGAAAGGGATACAAAACCCGATCTTGGTGATAATAATAATAGTTCAAGTAATGGTAGTGGTGGACCACCTGGTATTGGTCTTGGTGGTGGTGGTGGTTCATCATCTAATGGTGGAATTGGTGGTTTACGTGGTAATGGTGGTGGTAGTTCTGATCATGGTCATCATTCTGATAGTGCATCAACACCTGATCATCAAGTTTGTTATTCGGTAAGTCAATTGGAAATTTTTTTTATTATTATTCTTATCCATCGACATTGTGATCAAACAAAACAAAATACATACAACACCTACTACCATTTCAATCATAATTTTAAGCCGCCGAACAACAGGCAAAAAGAAAAATCCGATGATCCATATCGTTGTTGACATTTTTTTGTTGTTATTTCGGTTTTTTGTTTGATTTGTATATGACGAGCTCTGTGTATTATTTGTTGTTGTATGTTTGCCATTATTTTAGTGTGTGTGTGTGTGTGTGTGTGAATACCAATGCATTAAAATGTCGTAAATAAATCTAACAGCATTTTATCATCATCACCATCACCATCATCATTTCATTTCATTTCTCTCTCTATTTATTGATGATGATGATGATTATGTTTGAATCTCAAACACATAAGTAAAAAGCTTTCGATAGGCCAAAATGACAGGCAAACATTTTTAGCAGGTTAACACACACATACACACACACACTTAAACAAACCAACAAGAAATGTTGTTTCGTCTAAATACATCAAAATACCGATAAACCGAAAAATCTATCGACTTTTTACCTTTAGTAGTGTCCCCCCTCCCTGTTCATAGATGATGAAAAAAAGGTCGTCAAAGTCAAAATCTTATCATCATGGAAAATGTAGAAAAAAAAATAGTTTGTTTGTTCGGGATGCTGAGATGTAATAACAATTTCTCTCAGATTAAAAAAGAATTTCTATCCAAAACTTGAATCGAACGAAGAAAAAGTCAAGTGTTCGATTTTCTGATTTATTCGATTCGGAATCCACTAGGAAAAAAAATCGATAATTTTTCATGCATTGAAAAAAATTCTTTTTCAATTAACACACCTTGTTTTTGTTTTTATTTTGCAAATTAATCGAATGGCAAAAAAAACCTCTTTAATATGGCTACTACTTGATTTATATTCAAAATAATATCCGTGCAATGATGATTTTTGTGGTGGTAAAAACAGTAGTAGTTGATAGTCACATTTTTGTTGTTGTTGTTGTTGTTGTTGGCAAACATAGCAGGTAGCGCATAGCCAAAATTTATTTATTTATTTATTTCGTTTGCCAATTTGCAAAACGAAAAAAAAATCCATAAACACTTATACCGCCATTTGTTTTGTTTGTCGGTTATCCGTTGTAAAAAAACACAATCCATTTGGTTTTATTGCACATCAGTTTAATTTCAATAAATCGGCGATTCTAAATCCTGTTGTTGTGGTTACAAACATCTATGTGTGTGTGTGTGTGTGGATGTTTTTTAGTCTTGTTTTTGTTGTGAATTTAATCTGGATGTGAATGAATTTTCATTCTACAGGAAATCTTTTGAGAGAGATGGATGATTTTGTTTATGTTTATGGGGTTTTGTTTTTTTGAAAATTAAACACTAACAGAGTCTTGATTCTTAGAATTTGAACCGAAAAATTGTTTATAGAAAAAAAACATTTCTCCAAAACTCTCTTAACTATCAAAAGTGTGTGTGTGTGTTTGTTTTTGAAAATAATGATGGCTGACCAACAGCACCATAAACAAAATTCAAATTTGGAGAATTTCATTTTCTATTTCACTTGTTTGTAGTAGTGATTGCTCTAAAATCAACAAAAAGATTTATTCATTTATACATTCAAGTATATACAAAATCAGTCAGTCAGTAGTATGATCATCCATGATGATGATGATGATGATGATGAACAAAGTGTTTTTCTTTTTCGTCTTTGAATCAAAATGACGATGATCAACACACAACAAGTTTATCTTCGATACACGATGATTAATGTATGTGTACGTTTGAGAATGAAACCTGGCTAGATTTCATATTTCATTCTCGTTAAGAAAATGATTTTTTTTTCTTTTTGTTTTTCGTTTTTGTTTCCACCATTTTAATTCAAAAAAATATTTCATTTGCACATGCTGTTTGAAGATTAGAGAAGATTGAATAAATTGTCTGTTTGTTTGTGTGTGTGTGTGTTAAGGAAGAATGAATGAATGAAGCTTGAATGATGATGATGATGATGATGAAAAAGGAAAAGAATGCCCCGCAGTCACTGGCTTCATCATCATATACACTTTTTTTAAACGAAAAAAAAAATAATTCAGTGGAATCAACCAAAAACACACTGAACCCATCGCGCAAAGATGGACATGATGATGATGAACTCGAAAGATGAAAATGATGGCCATCATCTTCTTTTTTTTATCTTTTTCATCCTCTTCATATATAACTTATGATGATGTTGATGATGATGATGATGATGATGGCCAGTTTTTTCTCTTAGTTTTAGTTCAAGATTTTTTTTTTTCATTTTGTTTCGTTGTTGTTTGTTGTTGTTGTTGTTGATGATGATGATGATGATGATGGAAGACACACATACATACCTATGTTGATTGAATCGACAATTTTCAAACAGAAATTTTTCTTTTTTGTTCCTTTTTCATTTCTCGTTTGTTCTCGGTTGTTTGCTTATACTTGTATGCTTGGTTTTTCATAATTTCAATCATGAAAAAAAAAAAAAACAAGTTACCTGCGTGGTTTTTTTTCGAATGTAACCCTCGTCAGGTATATAGAGAACGATTCTCAGTGCCTGTCTTGTTGTGAATCGTTCAGAGGTTTTTTTTGTTTAAGAAAATGAAAAAATTTCACTCAAGTTCTGTTCTGTTGTTGTTGTTGTTGTTGTTGTTATTGTATCTCGAACATTTTTTTTGTCTTCGAGAACAAAACAACGAAAATTTGTTGTTGTTGTTGTTGTTGAAAAAAAAAATTTAGCCAACTTATTGTCAAGTGGTGATGGTGGTGGTAATAATGGAAAAAGAAAAACATACCTGAAAATTGAAAATTACCTTGGTGAGAAGGCGAATATGTTTGGAATGAATTGAATTTGAAGAATATGGTGTGCAAACACCTGTGAAAATGAACAACAGCAAAAAAAAAAAAAAAATCACGCACACAGAGACAGCTGAGCAAATTTTTTTTGGGTGGGATCTTGGATCAAAAAAATTCTCGATTCTCGAAATCATTAATCGTCCATAAAACTATAAAAATTTTTTTTTGAATGAATGAATGAATGAATGTATCACTTTGGTTCTTGTTGTTATCGATTATTAGTGGGCCTAAGTATCTATTTTGTTCTATTACAATTTACAATTATCATCATTATGGCTACTTGATGATTGTTTGTTTGTTTGTTTGTTTGTGTTTTGAAATTTTTTTTTATTGGCCCATCATAAAACTTGAAGTGAACGATAGTGCCAGAAATTTTTTTTTTTTCGACCAAATCTCATTGTTGGTGGTTGTTTGCCTTATCATCATCATCATCATTATTATTATTATTATTGCCAACCGATTGTAAATTGTAACCAAACAGAACAGTAGTCTATTTGAATGTTTGTCTGTGTTGTAATTCATTCAGAAATTATATTTGCCAACGAGAAAAAAAAATTGTTAATTGATTTATCGATGTTGGTTCCACTGGCCACACACATACTTGGTTTCTTTTCTCTGATGATTAACACAATTGGTGTTTTCGGTTAAAATTTTTCATATAATTAAATCCGATCAATATTGTGAAAAATATTTCCGGTAACGGAAAACAACAAATTAAATCTCTGTGTGTCCGGTTTTTTTTGCCATTCATATAAAGCAATTAAAGATCTATTAAATATATAGACAATTTAAGTCGATTAATAATAATGATGATAATTCCGCTTTTGTTAGAGAGAGAGAGAAAAAAAAAAGAGCTTTTTGTATTCGTTTATTGTCAATTTATCGGATAAAAAAAAATACTGATATAGTAATGACACAAAATATTAGTTGTTGTCTCCCGATGGTATTTCACGACACAAACAAATCCAAAATAATCTTTTCGTTTTGTTTTGTTTTGTGCTGATCACTCAGTAAAAAAAAAACAAATGGAGAGAAAAATCGTTCCAATCTTAAATAATAATAATAAGCTTTTCATTTTTTTCCTCTGTTCTTCTCAAAATATTGTTGTTCCACAATTGTGTTCCAGGATGTATTGTGTACCGAACCCTTGTTTATCGATTATTGGTACAATTGTGTGTGTGTGTGTGTGGGATATTATTTGTGAATGTCTCACGTTTTTTTTCTCTGTTTCGTTTCGGGGTTTAATTCCTTCACCATATTCGATTGATTTTTTTTTCTTTTTCATTTTGATGGAATTTTTTCTTCGTTTTTCGTGGTGGTGAATGGTGAAAACACCCCATAAACAACCAACCAAACGTTTTTTCTGTTTTGTTTCTTTGGTTGAAGAGAAATCTTTTTCGTTTTTCTTTCTCTCTCTCTTTGGTCGTGTCAAACACATGTTTGACCTTTATTGACGTTTATTATACACACACACACAGTCAAGTCATTGGGATTAGCCAGATTCTCGTTCAGTTAATATATTCATTCAGGAGAAGTAGAAAACTGACGTTTAAAACGTTGTCTTTCATCAATTTTCCCATTCAATCTATGTATGTATTTGTTTGTTGTTTAGTTTCATACCGTTTGATTTTTTTTTTTTTTTTTTTTGGTTTGGTTACCTCCTGAGCATTTAACGTTTTCTTTCTTTCTTTTTTTTCTGATTTTGATATTTTTCTTTTTTTGTCGTTTGAACTTTTTTTCTTTCAATTTTGTATATCATCTTCATTGTTTAAATGGTGGAGAAAAACCGTAATAAACTGATTTTTTTGCATTTTTTATTGTTTGACTTGACCTTGTGTGCACCACCACCACCACCACAACAACAATTGTATTTGATTTTCATAAGTTTATGAACGAAACACTTTGCAATCGTTGTGTTCGATTTAGTCAATTTCTCGATCTCTTGGTGAATTTATCATGAATTTTTTATACAGGTCATCATTCGCTAGTGAAACAAAACAAAACAAAAAAAAAAAAATTTTTCACCAAACAGACAGATAAATTATTGATAAATCATGATGAAATGAACAAAAAATCAATACTTGATCGATGAATTGACAGAAAAAATTGAG